CCCTTCACTTCCACACTCCACTCCTTTCCAGCCTGCTCTTGCTGTGGATGCTAACCGGTATTGACTACATTGATAGATTTTCTTACTCTATTGTTTCTATTTTGCTTCAGAAGAGGGAAGTCACTAAGGGAGGAGAGGAAGATGAAGCTACTTCATTTTCTCTCCCTACCCATACCCTCCACACTTGAGGCTGGTAGGTCTCAACATTAAAAATCACACATAACTGTATAAGTACCCTCTAGAGGTACCCTCTCCACACAGAAGTCCGCTCATCCCTTCACACGTAGAAGTGAGAATACCATGTTGTTAATAGTCCCAAAGTATTTCACTGTCACCTATGGTTTCCCTATATCCTGGACACATTTGTGCAAATAGTCCCTTTGTTTTCATTGAATTATACTAAAATATTGATCATCATCAATGATACCTCCCACTGGTAACACTGTGATCATTGATGATACAACAGTGGCCTTAGGAAATTGCTCCTTAATATGGAATTGGACAATTGAGTTGCTCATATTTGAAGAGCACAAAGATAAACCTTGCTAGGAAAAAGCAGATCATGATGATCCAAGGCATGTAGTGGTACCAGGATTACTCAAATTATTGCTGGTAGTAGCATGAGTGGCCATGGCACATAGTTGCTAAGCCAACACTTTATGAGTGATGATAAAAATTTTAGTGTCATCTGGTTTCACCTGACCATCCTAGAGAGCACACATAGAAGAAAATGGCAATTTATGAAGTATCCAACCCAAAATATTTTTTGAGTATGAGAAGACATCAGTTGAACTTCTGAAGGAGTCCCTCCCTTGCAATAGTCTTAGGGAAGATTTGGCCAACCATTAAACCCAAATGTCTGACAGCAAGCAAAAGGGTCTGGTTGTAAATATGGCATCACTATTTAAGTGTTCAACCCTTAAAGGCTAAGATAAGAATTCTAATGGGGAAGGAATGGGACCCTAGGAATGGGTATGGTGACATTTAGACAAAATGGACAAGGCTGAAAACTGTAATCCTCTATAGTTCTATAACCCTCCCTTGCCAGCAGAGACAGCCTCCTCCACTCCATTCTGATTTGAGAGGTTCCTTAGTCTTGAAGAACTAACTGCACCTGGAAAAGGGTCTTACAAGTCACTGCCAATTCTCCTCAGCACCCAGCTCCTATGACTTCTCATAAGCAAGTGCAAGAGATGCTGTGGGAATAAACAGCTTATACACCAAAAGAAACAGCTTATACATCAAAAGAGTTTCCTCTTTGAAAATCTAAAGAGGATTGTAATGGTGTTACACCAAAAGGATAAATCATAAGGATCAGGACAAATTTATTGTTATGGGTGCACTTTACCCATTTAATACTTTGGCTCAAGTACTTAAGAATGCCTTTAGTAGTTTCCTAGTTGCACTAGTCGAGAGCTGGACTTAATATAGGTTAATAGAAAGGTCAAAATACTGGAACCTACCTGGATTTCCAGTGTAAGGAATCCAAAGGCTGGGGAAGATGCAAAAGTTGGAGAACATCTATATGTGTATACTAATTAGCCAAGCCACTCCTAAACATACATGTCCCCCTAAACCTCCCTTTACCAAGGTATTGAGCAATGCACACATAAGGAGGCCTCCAGCATTGTTGTAAAGACAGGTGACTCTTCTTAATAGGCCAGAAATAGTGGTAGAGGACGCTGTGATGAAATTAAGTTCTCTGATCTCCACAAGACCCCCAAATGTTTAAGGCTGGTTGACATTTAAAAGACAAAGTGGTACAGTACTTAACCACAATTTACCAGGGACTGAAGGGTAATTACAGGCAGAGATTTGTGGCAATGACTAATTGCTCAAAGGTCCCTAGAAATAAGATGAGCAGTATCCTGTAGAAAAATACTACATCTGCAAAGCAGAAAGTAACTGAAGCCAGTGTTGTGGTGATTCATAGCCTCTTGCTTGGTTCCCAGACTTAAACCAGTTCACAGACCCAAAGCTCTTTGACTAAAGGTAAGTCTTGCCCTTATGAGACAGGACCCTACAACATGAATACAATTATGTATGATAAATCTTCATCCCAAGTTTCCCCAGAAAGAACTCTAGCCATTTACTAATGTGTGACAGTGGCTTGGAATCAAGGGAATAACTGGAGCTCTCAGGGGTCATTAGATAATGGCTCTGACTTTCTGCTACACTTCCAAAACCTAAAATGCCATTGCAAACCAGCAGTCATAGTGGGAGCTTCTAAAAAACAGGTGGCAGATAGCATGTAGGGTCTGAAACTGTCTCACAGAGTGTCCACTGGATCCTCCCAGTTCAGAATACAAAATGGAAATGCTTACTGACTACCTGGTTCATCTCCGATCCAAAGAGTTGAGTATATTATGATAGAAAGGGCCAAGTGGAAGCCCTTGAAAATGCTCCTATCCTCACCCCTCTGATTCAGAAATTACTTTGAAGACTTGAGAGATGTTGGGATAGTGATTATAACCATATGCCCACTTACCTTGCTTATCTTGTTAGTGAGAAAGCCAGATGGATGCTGGAGAATGACAATCGATTATACCAATCAGGTGATAATGCCAATTACTACTGCAGTTTCAGATGTATTATCTTTATACACAAATCAACACATCCACATCTTTGCCAACTGGTTTGCAGCTACTGACCAAGCAAATCCATTTTTCTTGTTTTTGCCCTTTATTCTGGTATGGAAAAACTGAAGCAGTTTCTACTTATGTGGTGGGACAATACTATAGCATTACTTTCTTGCCTGCATTGTAATATTGTCCAGGAAGACGTGGATCTTCCAGGTAGTTCTCAAAATATCAAATTGGTCCATTATATTGATGAAATTTTCTAATTAAACCTGATGAGAAAGACGTATTTGTCAAGTGTGAGTGAGGGTCTGAGATTTTACCCCACTTGTAAGCTAAGAAGTTAGCTTGCCAGTTTCATAAATGCTAGCAGAAGATATTATAGTCCTAGGGTAGAGACAAGACTTGATTACTCAGAAAAACAGCAACCAGAGTTGTCAGCTTGTCCATTCGTACTGATTCCTCCTGATCCCCAAGTCTCATGGGGGCACTGCAAAGGGCCTGTGATGGATGCCTACCTGTACACACTGTAGGTGGCACTACAGCAGAACAATGATCTGGAGATTTGACTTTTTTTTTTTTTTTTTTTTTTTTTTGTAGATTTGACTGCTTTTATAGTACTGGGCAAAGAGACAAGGAGATACCACATCATCCTTCAAGACTGCTCTTTGCAAACAATCCTGAGAAATGGCTGGGTGAAAATAGTCAGAACTCTGCCTTCTCGGCATAGCCAATAAGAGTGTTTACTGGTCTGGTTGGACTCAGTGGTTAGAGTGCTGGCCCTGTACACCAGGAGTGGCAAGTTCTACCCTGGTCTGGGCCCGTTTAACAATAAATAAATAAATAAATAAATAACCAGTGTGTAGGTCTGCTCTGGGATCATGGTGCGTCCCAACAGTAACCAACACTCTAGGTGTCAGTAATAAAATAAATGTAAGCCAGATGGTAGGAAATAACCTGTAACAAAAGTTCAGGGTTCTGTCAAATCAATATAAAGTGTTTAGGGATTCAATGGTCTGAGACACCTTAGGGGCACCATTTGGAATGCCTCTTTTTAGATTTTGGAGCAAATGCATACCTTAGTAGCATATATCTCATCAATTCATTTATCTGGTAAACTGTAAGACTGACTTCTGAGTGGGGCTGGAAGTAAGACCTCTGCAGCAGGCTGAACAACAGAGAGCTGGCCTGAGAACTCATGCGACATGGCCCCAAAGACTCATGTTTATGACAATCAGACACTGGGCAGCTCTGGCAAGTTTTGATAAAAACATCACAGCACTAAATTCCAGGTGTGAACATGAGGTTATGCCTTCCTCTATAGGTATGCGATCCACCATTTGAAAAGCAGATCCTAGTTTTGCTATTGGGTTACCGTAAAAACTGAATGCCTAATCATAGTATGATAAGTGACTAAGAGATTCAAACTGCCCAGTCACCTAAACCAAGGATCAGCAAACTATGATCTGAGGGTAAATCTCATCCATTAAATGCTTTTGTAAATATAGTTTTATTGAAACAGTCATGCCCATTTATTTACACATTGTCTATGACTGTTTTCATACTACAACAGCAGAATATTCATGACAGAAATCATACGGCCTGCATAGCCTAAAATATTTAGTGTCTGGCCCTTCACAAAGAAGTTTACTGAACTAAGATCTAATCTAAAGACCATAAAATTGAATGTGACAAGCAACATTCCACTATTACAAGCCAGCTATAATATTTTCTCCTACTCCTTCACTGCCTCGTTCTCAAACTACATCTAGGAAAATTTGGGTATTGTCTCATGGTGATTTCACGGAGGAAGAAAAAAGCCTGGCTTATTGACAGACCTGTACAGTAGGTCAGATGTGAACAGAACTGCACTACAACCTTCCCTTAAAGGTGGATGGGAAATGCTCTCAGCAAGAATCTTGGAAGATACATCTGGTAGTTCATTTCACAAGGAAGAATACGTGGCTTAAGGTAAAACTCTATGCTGATTAATGGGCAATGGTTAACAGGTTGGCCAGTCAGTCAAAACTTTGGAAAAAACAAAATGGAAATCTGGTGACAGGTTGGTCTGGAGAGAAGGTATATAAAAGGGTGTCTCAAAACAAGTTTAGGAATCAAAAATTTTATACAGGATAACATTTCATTAATAAATTTTATCATACTTCAGACTTGATAGTCATCATTAATATTTGAATTTATATTAATCAAAATCCACAGGTTTGTTTATACATTTACTATATAAAGTATTTAAAATATGCTTATGAAATAGCTTATGAAAAATAAATTTTTAAAAAATGTGCCCCAAGTTACTTGTTTTTTCATCTGTTCAACATCTTTGCATTCAATATTTATGGAGTCCATGCAGAATACTGCTCCCATTCTGTGAAAATGTAATTCAATAAAACCTAGATAGGCTCTGTTAGGATCAAAGAACTTTATATTTATTTTAAATATCAAAATAACACAAAGAACTAGTTCAATATACAATACACTTCCTATTCTTCACAGAGAACTGTATTTTTCTATAAAGACATTTTACTTAAGAAACATGAGACAACCAAAATATCTATAAAACTCACAAGGTACTTTACACACAGTTGACAATAATGAATTCGTTATTTTAGATTTTTCTTTGTACTTGTTTTAAACAGTATCCTTAATTAAAAACCAAAATTATGATTTGAGACTGAAAACAAATTCAAACGCATTTCTACTTTAATGTACATCATAATTCCCCTTAATCAGAACATTTACTACACACATGGAGTAGCAAAATGCCCAACTTTGTATCACTTTTTGGCAGCCCCACTCATCAACTGTAATATAGGTTTATGTATAGGGATACGAAGAGTCTGATTGTTGGAAGGAATAAAAATGTTATAATTATACCACAGCACACATTGTCCAACTTTAATGCAAGCAGAAATACCAAGCAAAGAGGTGCAATAACAATTAGGTGTGTACATGCTCTTTATTAAATAAATGTTTTAGAATTTCCAACAGCAATGTGAGTACTGATATTACCTGTCTTTAAGAATTTGGGGGGGGGGGAGAGGTTTTATTCTTTTTATAACCTCTATTCTCTGAACATAATCCATAATTTCTCTTTATATATCTGGCTGCAAAGGCTAAATTTAAGTTGTTTCGGGCTCTTTCAAGAATCACAGACTTAAGAACAATACACAGCAAGTTGGTACCTGAAGAGTAAGCAAAACATAAGCACTCTTCTCTACCAAAACCTTCTTCCTCACATCTTCCACATAACTTAATCCTGTTATTTCTATCACATTAATGCTGGAGAGTAGGAAGCATGTTAATATCATGAGAGGAAAGTATCTTAAGTCAAAATAATTTCAGAGAAAATAAAGAGGGCATACCCCAAGAAAAATAAGACAGCCCATAGCATGAGAAATGTGCAAAAGGGCAGGGTCTAAAGAAGTAATGTCTAGTTCCTAGAAATTGTTTAGAAAATTATTCTCACACTATCCATTATTCACTCTAACAGCAAGAAACACTGACCACAACACTGCTTAAAGTTTTAGAAACGCTACTTGTCCCTTACTGAAGAATAGAGTTTTAGTCTTTTTCAATTTGGCACTGAATCTTACAATATCCAAATACAACTTTGTCTGAAAGTCCTAATTTTCCTGAGTCCATCAACTCAAGTTATAGTAATATATTGGTTGGGATGTTGCTGCTCCTAATGAGAAACTCACCTCGAACCATCACCTCTTGTTCAGTTTTAGGCAAACTGAAAAAAGAAGTCATTCAGTGCAGAACTGTGTGGTTATGGTTACGTAACTCTTTATTTACAAAAGAGAGACAGAGAGACAGAGATGCAGATACACTCCTCTTATTTTGTCAGATTCTTCTACTAATCATCTAGAGACAGGCCCAGGAGTGGCTTCACAGTAACTATAAAGGCCACAATAGAGATTTTTAAAATTATAAATAAAAACAAATGTTCACACTAGTACTTAGTGCCCATTTGCCATTACAAACATAAAGAAACCTAAAAAAAAGTTGCCCTACCAGCAGGCAACACAAACATAAGATCCATTAAAAAAAATTACTAACTAGTATAATCTAGCCAGCAGAATCAACTCTAACCAAATACAACACATTTGAAAGGCACAAAGCATTCAATTCAGAAAAGACTGGCTATGAAAGGACACTAAGAGCTAATGCTCAAATCTGTCAAATTTGACTTTTCATCAATGATACATAGAGTGAGATGGCTGGAAGGAAATTCAAACTTACGTATAAATATACCAGTTTAATTGTATTTTTAATGTGTTTGCAATTATAGAGTAAAAAGTAATGAATGATAATAATTACTTATTAGCCCTTAAAAAATACTTTATTAGTTACACTACAAAGATGTTTAGATACTTTTGAAGTCTAATAGAAAATTATTAGTGTACCTGTCTCATGACCTACTGTCACTTAAAAGGAAGTCATTTATTTAATAAAGCACCAATTAAAAACCCTATTTTTGCTACTCTTTTCTTCCAGCAATAAATGTTTAAATTATTTAAATGTATGCAAAGACCACTACCTTTACAGTTGTTGTTTAAATCTTGCTGGTACAAGACCAAACCCTAACCTTAAATGGTATTTTAGGCTGCAAAAAATAGGTGGGGTTTCTTACAAAAATAATCTCAACTTGACTTAAAAAAATTTCTAAGGCAAAAATTATTTTGATAGTGTAGTGTAAAAAATAAGCTTATTATTTAGCATTTAATAGTGTTCACTAAAAGATATTAATTCATTAAATTGAGGAAAACTGAGTACTCTTACTTGTTATTGGTTTATCAGTATGATTATTCCCAGAGTATTCTGCTCTTATTTTTATACATAGAAACACAAACACTTAATTCTTAATCTCAGTATTCAAGCTAACAATTCTTTTTAAAAAATCCATTATTCTAGGACTTCAACTGTGCTTCTTTGGACAAATATTTATTCAAACAACAAAGATTTTAAATTCTTTTAAACTATTTAATACCTACTAAAAATCTTTGGTGCATGTAAGTCAAAACAGATTAACAAATTTCTGCACTTGATAGATTATTCAATTTCTAGATTAAGTGCTAACTGCTATCTGCTAAAAAAATTAATTTAAAACAATAAATTATGTTCATAAAATTAAAAAAATCTGAATGAGGCTAAACTTAGTTGCAAGATTCAAAATTTTTAAGTGTAGTTACAAAACAAATGGATTTTAGAGTTATAGAGTATTTGTCCCAAATACTCTAAATCAAATATAAGAGTTCGACTGAAAAGAGTAGGCCTCACTTTATACTTGTGTCAACTTCAAAAGCTTATATACATTCAGTTTGCCCAAATCCATGAGGTTTTCACAATTTTAAAATTTCTTGTAGATTCAGAAATTAAGAGGCAGCAGGGTAGTTTTGTTTTGTTTTTGTTCACCCACTGAGACTATTTCTTCATAAGAATTACACTACCTACTTCTCAGACTGGGTTAAGGTTAAATGAAAGAATGTAGTGCCTGGCACACAATAAGCATTCATTAATGCTAGCTTTCTTCTTTCTCTACTTAGAGCTCTGCCACTCATGGACCACAGGAGCTTAAGTGAGTCCTTTTATCTTAACCTCAGATTCTTTTCTCTAAAATGGGAATACAGCATATCCTTTCTATTTCAGAACTGACTTTAAGGTTCAAATGAAATAACATGTGAAAGCATTTCATGAAATAGTCAGTCACTACTCAAATTTACCTACAACAGTAACTAAATTATATAATTATACTTCATCTTACATAAAGAGAAGTATTCCAGAAAAATTCTATGTAAACCAGTTTGTACAATTAAATCACATATACCTAAAGTATTAGGACATTATTATTAAAAGAATCCTAAAGTAAATTATCATCAAAAAAGCAAAGTATTCTTTTCAATGTGAAAATGCGATATCCTCTTTTTCGGCCGCCAAATGTATAATACATCATACTTACACATGTGTGGGTGTATATATATATATACACACACACACCATTTGCCCCTTTATTAAGTCCAGACTTTTCTACATTAACTTATATATAAGACAGGGTACACTTTTAGGTATGATTTCTTTTTATGACAGTAAAATTTTTAGTCACAATCTTAGTCTATGATAAAAATCATAAAGATATGCATTTTTAAAAGTTGATCTGAAAGACTAAACAGACTAACAGTACCTCATATGGTCAAGCTCAATCATTTAAGTACCCCAGATATAACATTTCCACACAAAGTAAATAAGAGTGCTTTAAAAAAAAAAGAACATAGTAATTATGTCTATTGGTTTTAAGATAATTACAACCAAACCTTGATAAATGAGGCAAAACTCAGGTTGGTTTTATTATTTATATGAGTTACTTTGGTTTACTGCCTTAATTCTCAACATTTTTTCATTTTATTTTATCTTTGCCTAGTATGGCAAATGTTCCTGTCAAGTACCTTCATTTCTTAAGTGCTTCAGCAAATAGTTTCCCCTCATTACTAACGGCTTAAATTTTATTCACCTAAAACTTTATTATTTTATTTGTGATTCTTTTTTCACAAGGGCCAGGCCAGACTTTATAGTTTATACACACACACACAAAAAAAAGTGCTTTAAGCAATAAGAAGTGTAAACAAAACTGAAAAAGAAAACTTTTAAAATGATTTTAAGTAGCAAGTCTATATACAAATGACATGCTAATAATAAATCAACCCTGCCTAATCTAATCCTCAAGCAACTCTACTAGGAAACATCTTAGTTAAGTTAAAATTGACTTGAAAATATATGGAAAGTGCATGTCTTTAAAGGTATCTAATTCTTCTGACTGACTTTTTTCCTCAATTAGTTTTAATCAATGAGGTTTTGCTGTAACTGCTATTTCTTTTCACCCAGTCCCCAACTTTTGTCTTGTACAAAAATATAAATCAAGGATAATTACTCCCATTAGGCATATGTTAAAGCAAAAGTACACATCTAGAGTGCATGTAAATCTGCATACAAGTAGTGGTTCCATTTAATTCAACAGCATTAAGTTAAACTAGACACACATTTTATAATTTGTTTGGCACCTTTTCTAACAATTATATATGAATTATCTCACTAAGCTCTGTTTTCCAGAGTTTCTATTAGCCAAAGTGAAAGAAATCAAAAATAGCATGTTTAATCAAATTTCATTAGTTTTAATTACCCCTTCCTTAGTGAGATGAAGATAAATGCCATGAAATATTGTTAATGTTTCTGAAAGAAATGGCAAACCATTAGAGGTACAATTACCTTGAAATATGTCTAGACAAAACAGTCATAGTTTTCTTTTAAAATATTTTTAAATTCTATGATTTAATACCTAGACCTTTTGTCTTTCTTATTCAGAATGACTGAAATATATGCCAATTATTATCTATATAATTATTTTAATCCTACATTTAACAAGATAAACTTACATTACTTATCTTTCTGGCTTTGAATTTATCAAAAATCCATAGAATAATGATAATCTAAAATTATGGACAGATGGAAAGACAAAGTAGAAATAACTAAAGACTTTCTTATAAATTCAAATTACCAATTTTGATTTTAAAAATCTAGATAAAATAAAATCTTAAATTAGAATAAGAACAGGTGCAATCATCAGTATATTCTGACAGTGCCTTCTTAAAGGGTATATGGGCCTTAATGTTGTTTGTAAGATAGGAAAGGGAAAAGAGACAAATGCCACTAAAGAAGAACAAACATATCCACTGATAATTAAAAAATAAAAACATAATGTCAGCAGTTACTAATTCTGAAAAGTTTGAGAATCCATTAAAAATTAGCACTAAATAACCTTTTAAAATCATAAAAATGCTCACTTCAAATATTATGTCAGAAAGTGTATCCAAATATTCATATGTTCAGTAAACAGAAGAAATACATAGTTTTCTTGATTTAAAATTATTCTAAGGACTTGAGAAACTAGAGAAAATGAAAAAATAGCAGCCCTACTAATTTAAAAGCCATTAGCTTTTGGCTATCATTAGCACGTAACCATGAAAAAGTCTGTGGAATGTTTAGATTGACTCATGAATGATGCTCACTGGTAGGAATATTTTGGACACCAGTAGTGTGATCAAGGCCCAGTAACGTTCCAAGGTAGGACTGTTCTCTAGGGTCCAGCATGTGTTCAGGCCGGACTGGATGAACTATGTTTGCAGGCTGAGGAGTGAGAGTGTATTTTTCCAGAAAAGCTAAATCAGCTGCCCGTGGATAATCGGTTGACTGTTGCTGTGGTGGCAAGATCTCATGAGAAGACGGAGGGAGTGTGGTAGTGTGACGAACCAGATCACTGGGAGTGTCAGGCATCTGAACCGGAACCAATGTTACTGGGACACACACTTCAGTAGACACGTTCTGTAACATAGTCTTGGCTTCTGATTGATAAACTTTGGGCTGGTCCATATATTGTTTTGTTTCTGTTTGAAAGATTTTATCATCAGATGAGTACTCTACTGGCAAAGACACAAGTTTTTCCTCAGAAGTACTAAGAGGATCATCAGGAGATTTTATCTCATGAACATGGTCAATGTGGTATTTCAGCTTGTCCTTCCGCTTAAATGTTGCATTACAGTGCTGACAGTTGAAAGGTCGGGCATCAGAATGAATAACCAGGTGTTTTGTTAATGTTTTCTTAATTCTAAAAGACTGATTGCAAATTTGACATTTGTATGGTTTTTCACCTGTATGAACAAGAATGAAATGAAATGTAAAATGTACTCACTTATAAGATAATGATTTTAAGTAGCAAATTTTCCATGCAAATAAGTGTAAGAACTTCTCAATAGCATTTACATTACATGCTACCACAAAAGGGAGACAGTAAATAGGTAAAAAGAATGAGCGTAAACATTTGAATTCCAGCTGTATTGCTTTACTAGTCAAACCTTGAGCAAGCTCTCTAACTTGTAAGCCTACTTTCCTTACCTGTAATATGACATAACAATGGTACCTAGTTCATAAAGTTGAATGGCCTGAGTAAGAAGAAAGTGAACTAATTTAGCACTGTATCTGGTACATTGTAAGTGATTAAGAAACATAAGTTAACATCATTATTATTATTACTGATTTTTATTCCCACTATAGTCCTCAAAAAGGTTTGTTAAATAAACATTTGATTTCCTTCTACCCAATGAGGATTTAAAAAAAAAAAATAGGAATTCTGATTGGCATGGTTCTTTGGATAAGAATGACTATCTCCAGCCTGAGGTCTAAATAATGAGAGTTGATCAGTGGAAAGAATAAGAAGTTGGAACAGTTTTCAATTCTTTGTAAGGCAGGTTCTCACATTGTATATTGAAGAAGTTCTTTTTATATAAAACATTATAAATTACTACGTTAGCCAGTGTAGTAGGCAAAATAATGGCTGCAGAAAGACATACACACTCTAATCCCTGAAATCTGTAAATAAGTTTCCTTACAAGATAAAAGAGGCTCTGAAGATATAATTAAGACTTTGAAATGAGGAAACTTAACAAAAGGACTGTCAAGGTGGCATCTTAAAAAATAGCTAATAACTAAAGGAAAATGGATCACAGAGATGTGACTAAGACATGAGACCTCGACCACAAATTGCTGGATTTGACAATGGAAGAAGGAAGCTAGGACTCAAGCAACGTTGTGGCCACTGGAAACTGTGAAAAGTTCTCAGTTTACAAGATGCAAGAAAACTAGAATCTTGGTCCTGGTGCTGCAACTCCAAGAATTAAATTCTGCCATTTACTGGAATGAATAGGCAGTAAGTTCTTCCCTAGAGCCCTCAGAAAAGAATATAGCCCTATCAATACCTCAGTCTCAGCCTGGGGTCAGACTTCTGACTCAGAGAACTGTAAGATAATAAATCTGTATTCTTCAAGCCACTACATTTGTGGTAATTTGTTATATCAGCAATAGAAAACTAATATACCTAGACATAATAATATGGCAATACACACAAAGTACATTTTAAAACCAAATGAGGTTATGTATTAATTGTTTCGTGGGTTTAGTGAGATCATTAATGTTTCTCTATTTAAGACATCATCAAATCTCATATTTGAGAAATACAAATATCAAATAGTTAAGACATCATCAAATCTGGTATTTGAGAAAATAAAGAGATAATTACATTTTCAAGTTGAAATACAAATATCAAATAGTTATTTGTTAATTATTTTGTAGCCAATGGATCTTTCAAATGCTACTGACAGAAAATATAGAGACTGGGATTTTAAGTACCTGGTACTATTAGATTTCTACTTATTTCTGGACTAATATCATTACTGATATAAGCCAAAAAGAAGTGGGACAAAAGTAATATATTATATAAGGGATTAATGTTTCTGAAATAAAAAGTATTTTTAACTGTGTACAGAACACATAGCATCTGACATATGACTTTACAAATGAACACCCAGAATGAGAGATAATATGAAAAAGCTCAAAGAAGAGTGTTTTGAGGGGAAAAAAATTTATACTTCCAAAATGCAAGAACTATAAAATTCTTTCTATAAACCCTGGCATCAATACTTGTCATGCAAAGAGCATTTTATGATAGCTTTCAAAAATAAAAACACTATCACGGCATTTCTAAAACCACAAAGAAGTACAGTTTATTTTTAAAGGGACAAGTATTGATGGTAAGTGTTCTTCTTTGGCATAGCACTAGTCATGTTTGTCTCTGAGCATCTTCATAAAAAAGATTTTATAACTGGATAGATTTTTTTTAACTTAAGAGTCATAGTCCATCTATTCTAGTGTGCAGCAAATGTTTTTTAGAAAATTAGGACTGAGATAGGCATATCATATTCCTATGATAAGTTTCTATTATCACTTTAAAATGTCATTTTCAATAGAAAAATAAATTTACGTTCATAAAACAACAAAAATTCACGAAGGAAATGTTGATATCATTAAATACACAAACAAATGTAGAGTGCTTAAAGATACACAATACTATGAACTTGATCAGAAAAGGAACACAGACTAAAGCAACATACTTTTTGGAGTAAAGTTATCTATTTAACAATAATTAAACAGAAATTGAGTGCATTTCCTATAAATCATCCCTTTCATGACCTACAAAAAAGAGCCTCTTAAGACTAGGAGGAAGTAAAATAAACTCAAAGAAAAGCAAACTTTTCTTAGCTAAAATAATAATAACCTATGAGCCTTTAACTAAAACGGTCCACAGGATTAGTTTTTACATGTTAAAAACTGGCATGAGAAACATGTACCTTGAAGGACTTTTATTTCAGACTTGATTAAGCAGTTTATATCATACTATGTCTTTTGTTGTTGAGAGGTGGAAGGATAAAATATTTTTTTAAAAACTCAAAAACTAATCAACTCTTTACAAGCAACAAAACACAACTAAGGTAGCCAAAACCTAAAAGGACAAAATCCTGCAGACACAAGAAGGTATGGAGGTGCTTTCTTCTCTCCTCAGCGCACTTTTAGATTCAGAATACGGGGAAAGAGAGACCAAGCTTCAGCCCAAAACTTGAGGAAATCTCTTTTTTTTTTTTTTTATTAAATGATAGCTGTATACATTAATGCAAACATGGGGTACAGTGTAGTGTTTTCATATACATTTTGAAATACTTTCATCAAGCTGGTTCACATAAATTTCATGTCGTTTGCTTAGTCATTGTGTTAAAACATTTATATTCTAGTTCTAGAAAAGTTCACTTGTACCCTTCCTTGTTAGACAGATATATAGGTGATCTTTCCGGTCACCCTCCCACGAAATCTCATTTGAATAAGACTACCTAGCATTTGAGGTGTCAGGAGCCAGGAAAGGAAGAAACAGCAGAGGAAATAAACCAAAATATCTATATTTGTCAAATCATAAAATGAACATTGCTAGAAACCAGTGGTTTGCAGGCTGAAGAGCCAATAGATTTTTCAGCAATCTCAAGGGTACTGAAGAGGCAGAGACTAGGGTGCAGGTCTCATCAAAGTGGGAAACTCTGATAAAAATATCACACTGCCAGTTGAAATGCCAGAATGATGATGGACTGAACTAGGAGAAAAGTATATCAGATATAGTCCAGAAATACTTCAATGTCATCATATATTCTATCTCTTTAATTAAATATATCTAGGACAGAACCCATCTTCAAGAGCTCTGTAGTTTTTCATTCATGAAATCTAAATTTCAATACATACTGACCAGCTCTGTAAAGAAATAGTACCAAATGATCAAATGCCAAGAGAATGGGGAAAATGTGATATACACAAGGAAGAACCAAATATATCACAAGGTAAGACATTAAAATTGATAATGACTAATAAGTTCAGAAAATATAGAAAAAGAAAATTTTACCAGAGAATTAGAAATTATGGGAAAAAGGGAAACTCTATAAAAGATAAATAAAACAACTGAAATTAATAATTTGGAACATAGATTTAATGGAAAATTAGCTACCAGTGAAGAAATGATTAGGAAAATTATTTTCTATTTTCAATTCTATTTTCTTTTCTATTTAAAAAATTTTTTTTGAGACAGAGTCTCACTATGTCACCCTGGGTAGTGTGCTGTGATGTCACAGCTCACAGCAACCTCAAACTCTTGGGCTTAAGTGATTCTCTTGCCTCAGCCTCCTGAGTAGCTGGAACTACAGGCACCTGCCACAACGCCTGGCCATTTTTTGGTTATAGTCGTCATTGTTCAGCAGGCCCAGGCAGGGTTCGAACCCACCATCTCTGGTGTATTTAGCTGGCACCCTAGCCACGGAGCTACAGGCGCAGAAAAGAGAGATTATGAAGATTAAAAAAGTAAAAACAAAGCTGTTATTACTGTTAAATGAGCTATTTGTATGTTAGAAAATCCAAAAAAGAGCTAAACCATAAAAATTAATGAGAGAATTTAGCAAGGTCATTGGCTAAAAAATCAATACACAAATTCTAATGTATTTCTATGTCAGAAAGAATTTAAAAAGGTTCAAAATTTTGTACAAAAACATCAAATATTTAAGTATAAATCTAATGAAAGATGTATGAGATATCTACATTAAAAACTACAAAACATCATTGAAAAAAATTAAAAAAACCAAGTTGACAAGGAATATACCATATCACAAATTAAATGCATCAATATTGTAGAAATAATCAATCAAGGAAAAGATCAAATTCAATGAAATTTCAATAATTCCTACTAGGTATATCTGCATGTGGAAATTAACAAAGTGTGTCTAAAGTTATATAAAAGCATGAAGGAATCAAAACAATAAAAACTTTGAAAAAGAAAAAATTGGAAGACTTATACTGCCAGAAATTAAAACTTATTATAAAGCCACAGTAATTTAAATGAATAGTATAAATACAAAGATATATCATAAAAATAGTCCAATGGAACAGAATAGAAAGTTCACAAAAATTACATATACGATCACTTAATTTAAAACAAATATGCCAATGAAATGGACTAAGAACAGGACAGTCTTTCCAACAAATAATGCTACAGTAAGTAGATATGCTAAAAAAAAAACAAAAACACAACTTTACCTGCTCACATACATATAAGTAAATGACAGAAGGTTCATGAACCTAAGTATAAAAATTAAATTAAAAGGTAATAGCAAGAAAGTATTACTGACATTGGGATAGAGAGCTATAAAGAAAACAATGATATATGACTTCATTAAAATTCAGAACCCTTGTGTATTAAAAGATAGAATTAATAAAATAAAAAGGTAAGTCACAGAATAGAAGATATCTGCAAGATAGATAGATACACAAATCCAACAATGGACTCATATCCAGCATATAGAAAGAATGTCTAAAAATCAATTAGGAAGAAAACAATCCAATTTAAGAAATAAGCATAAGAATAAATCTGGTATTCCATACAGGTAGATATCCAAATGAACAATGTAAGTATAGGGCAAGATGAATAGTGCTCAAGATCATTACATTGCATTAATGAGATACAAATTAAAGCTACTTTCAGATAGTGCTACGTATCCATCAGACAGATTAAAAATACAAGACAATATCAAATGCTGCTGAGAAAGTGTATCAACTGGATTTCCCATACGGCACTGATGGTAGTGTAAATTGACACAATACCTTGAAAAACTGTTTAGTAGTACCTACTAAAGTAGAATGTAAATATATCCTATGAGCCATCAATAACAGGGCCAGGCATATCCACAAGAGAAAAGAATGCATAGGTTTATGAAAACATACGGACAAGTATGCCATGACAGCTTTATTCATAATAGAACCAAGTAAATGTAAAGAAAGTATCCATCAAAGTAGAATGGATAAATAAATTGTGATATAGTTATATAAAAAACAAACAAACAAAAACTACTGCCTTAGAAGAATCCACAATCATACTGAGTGTAAAAAGCCAGACAAAAAAAGGATATATACTATACAATTCCATTTATATGAAGTTAAAGTAGACAAACTAATTTTTGGTAGTATAATTCAAAACAGACATTATCTTTGTAAGGAAGTTACTGAGGTCATGGAGAATGCTTCTGAACTCCTGGTAATGTTCTAGTATCTCAATCTGAGTGATGGTTGCATTTATAAAAATTCATTGACTATTCAAGATTTGTGCACTTTACGAGTTATACTTCTTAAAAGCAGCTTATAAAAAATTCATTTTGAATAAAAACAAAGCCAAAGCTAAAATCAAATCCTAAATTTATAGTCATCTTTATGCCAATTTTCACTAATACATTTCAACAAAACAGTTACTGAAGAATAGATGTAATCACTATTCTCCAAGGATTATATAAGCAAAACTCATATGGATTAGAATAAGTCATTTCTAGGGAAAAAAATCTTATATATTTTCCAACTAATGTCTCTAATTGTGTGGTTTTTAAAAAAATCAAAGAAATTAGAAAATAGTCATGGAATAGGATAAATTTACCTAATTAACAAATATTTATTGAGCATCATCTACTGATTATCTACTCATTTGAAGCAATTACTGGCCCAAACTGAAACTAATCCACTTTATTGTACCTCTTCTGGAGAAAAGATATACTAACAAATACATATTATATATATACTGCACTAAGGGTATCCTGAATAAAGAAAAACAATCTGGAGAATAAAAGTATTCTATTCATCAGAGAGGTACCTGCTATGAGGGTAAAGACAGTTCAACAGCTTCACTATCTCCTAAATAAACCAGTTCACAAAACCACTACCTTATTTACTCTGTATCTACATTTGGCAATATTCTTTCTGATTAACTTAGCAACTCTGCTTTTTTAATAAAAATACCGTAGGCAATACATATTGATATCTCTTTCTCTAGAAGGTGAATTAACAAATGAATATTCTGGTTAGTCTATTTCCAGTGATTTTTATGAAGAACTACTGAAAATACTTGTAACTCTTAATTCTGCAAATAAAAAAAAGAATTGAGTCTCTGGACTTATAAGTCTTAGAAATGAACTTGAGAACATGGTGAGCAGTTCTTGAAACAGCCACTTTGTGAAGTCCTATCTAGGTATGCTGCTAATTACTTTAGATTAGTAACTGTTGCAAACTATAGCCCACAAGCCAAATCTAGCCTGCTTCAATTTTTAAGTAGTTTTACTGGAACACAGCCACATTCATTTGTTTATACATTGTATACTGCTGCTTTGATGCTACAACAGCAGAGATGAATCACTGTGACAAATACTATCTAGCTCACAACACCTAAGACATTTACTATCTAGCCCTTTATAAATATTTCTGACTCTTGTTTACATTATTTCTGCTTCTCATTTCATCATAGCCACAGAGCTCATTTCCTCAATTTTCAAAGGGCACAATCTAGAGATGGGGGTTCCATATAGTCATTGGTCACCAGTCAATAACTATAAATAAATGCTTTCAAAAATTCTAATGCAATTTGGCCAGCATTAAATTTCTTCTCTGGAAAAATTCCTTTAGTTTTACAATTCTTATATCATTGGTGTTCTCAAATTAACTTTCTGTAAGTTCACTATCTCTTTCAAGGCACAGATTCTATTAGGCTTATTACTGAATAACTCATGTGGAATTTCACATTAATATAGTTTCCTCATTTTACAAATTCCCACTTATGTATCTATGGAGCCCCAAATTATGACTTTTTCATTTGAACAGGGATGTAATTTTGTTTTTAACAGCAGTACTATATCCAGAATAAATCCTTTTTTTTTTTTTTTTTTTTTTTTTTGAAGAGGTTTTACTTGTAGTTAGTAGTGAGATCATAGTTCACTGCAGCCTTGAATTCCCAGGTTCAAGGAGACCTCCTGTCTCAGCCTCCAGAATAACTGGGAATACAGGTACATACCACCATGCCTATTTTTTTTTCTAGAGATGGTGTCTTGCTATGTTGCCCAGGCTGGTTTGCAATTACTGGGCTCAACTGATCATCTAGCCTCCAACTTCCTAAGTAGCCATGAGCCACTGCACCTGACTAGTACTAAAATCTTCACTGTAACTCTTCTCAAATAAAATAACCCAAAGTTATTTTTCATTCTAACATTTATCAATTATTTTTATCTTCCAGAATAGCAACTTGACAAAATTCAAATTGAATTCAAAACAAAGCAGCCATAATTGCGTAAATGGGTTTCTTTCATTTTAGAAAAAAGTTTAAAAATTATTAATTTACATGTGAAGGCAAACAAGGACTCAAGCAATATACATAGTAAAAGAAAGAATCCAATATATTCCATGTTTTAAAACATAGTAGCAGTCTCAAGGAGAAAAAAAGAAATATTTAGAATATGACAACTTCTGGAAAGTAGATGAAGAGAAGCATCCTATTACAATTGCAAATCATGTTTGTCTATATAAAAAGGAAAACTATATAGTGTAAGTTGGTAAATGACACCATGGGTCATATATGTATTACTCTTAAAAGAAAAGGAAATCATGAGAACAGATAACTAAAGCCTAAGAAAAGCCTTCAGAAAGCAAAAGTATTTTTAAATCAAAAAAGTAGAAAATAACGACTAAAAGCTGAGTGAATTTCTTATAAATTTTTTTTCTCAAATTCTAAAAGAGAATATTTAAAAGTATTAAAGTTTATATAATATAAAATAGAAGACCAGAATATTGTACATTCATGATATAAACTTCAATATAAACAGTGGCACTATAAATAGAGATAAACCCCCAAATTTAACCCAAGACAACAAAGTTTAAAGTTTCATATTTAATTCTTGAACAATCACACACACAAAAATATATAAACTACCCATTCACTTTTACCTGAATGTGTCCGAAAATGCATTTCCAGACTTGATTTGCCTTTAAAAATTTTCTTACAAACATCACACTGATGAAATGTTGCTTTATATCTAAGAAAAAAAAAGATTTGGGTTTTTAGTATAATTTTAACAAATAACATGATGAAAATAAGTTATAAGATTTGTAACTGTATACTTAATTCTTACATTAATAAAGCATGGAACCCCAAAGAAATAAGGAAATATTAATTAAGTACTGAGCTTGCCTCTAGTTCTTTCCTCTTTCAGTTTTTATACTCAATAAATAAATCTATAAAAAGAGATCTAAGGTGAAAAGAAAGGGCTGACAATAAAGAAACACAGCATGGGTGGCACCTGTGGCTCAAAGGAGTAGGGCACTGGCCCCATATGCCGGAGGTGGTGGGTTCAAACCCAGCCCTGGCCAAATAATGCAAAAGAAAAGAAAAAGAAACACAGCAAAAAATCTGTGGCCATGTAAGTATTCTGTATCTTAATTGTGATAATGATGCCATGATGTACAGAACTCTACAGTAAAAGGGGTAAAGCTGGAGCTCCAGTCACACAATCGGTTAATGCATGGTACTGATAAAGGGTAAATTTCACTTGATATAAATTATACCTTAATTAACCTTTAAAAAATAGAGGCTGAGGCTAATTAAGAAACTGGATCAATCTCAAAATCTACTTTTATCAAAAGGGTCACATTGTTCTTATCAGTTCACTTCCTAATAGATAAATACTAATGCTAGTCCTTTACTTTTGTAATAAACAAATATAAATAAATATATAAATTCACCAAATAATGTAGTAAGCAGCATAGTGTAGTGATTAAGAAATATTTCTGAGATAATCCTACACTGAAAAAATTTCATTATGAGAATTCAGACATTTGTAAATGATTAGGATTTACGTGGCAGTTACTGGGAAAGGCATATCATCTCACTGTCAAAGCAATTCATATCTAATAAACACATGGCAAAACAATCAAATCAAAGCTGTGCTACTTAATCAACAGTTACTTACCAAAGGGTGGGGTCAGAGTATATACAAGACAGTCTGTTCTTGGCATAGCCACTTAGTTTTAGCAGAATGTTTAGCATATTGTTACCAAAATTAAATAGCAATATAGGGTGCCTACAGTTTCAAATGACATTCATACTTTTCAAATCATTCGACCCAACATTTATAAGACAAATCCCTGTCTTTGGGAATTTACTTCTACTTGTTGAAACAGACATTTAAAAAGATAATTTGGATTGAGTGAATTATGTGTCAATGATAACCTTGGCAAAGGTTTCCTAACAAGTTTGCTTCATCTGTCTTATTCCATTCACATCCATACTAAATATAATAAACAGAGGTAGAAACAGAGTCACCATGGACACACCAAGAAAGAGGCAGCAGTACTCAGTTGAAGGCAATTTTGCCCCCAGGAAAGGTGGCATTAGGACATTATTATTTTTGGTTTTCACAACTGACCCTGGAGAACAGCTGCTACTGACCTCTAGTGGGTAGAGGCCAGGGATACTGAGAAACACCCTACAATGCACAGGACAAAACTACTTGGTACAAAATGTCAACACATGTCAGCATGTGTTGGGGCTGAGAAATCTTGCTCTGTACCATGAACAGGAGGATTCTTTCAACACGAACACACACAAAATACTTTAATTGCCTCACAGTGGATTAGGATAAAGATGTAAGGCCCTGCACAGGAAGGCCTTTAGAGATATACAATATACCTCTTCATTCTCACAGATAATGAAAATACAGATTTGAAGGAAGGAGTGGTAATCAATTACAAAGGAAGCAGAGAGAGAATAGGACTTAAAAATGTCTATTGGATTTGGCAAAAAGAAAGTCATTCTGACAACAGTTTGAGAGGAACAGAAAGATCAGAGGTCTGATATTGCAACAGGCTGCAACAGAGAATAGAAAGTGAAGGTAGAGTCACCATTTAAAAAAGTTTAGAAGGGCCAGGTGTGGTGGCTCATTCCTGTAATCCTAGTACTGTGGGAGGCTGAGGCAGGAGGATTGTTTGTGATCAGGAGTTTGAGATTTGTCTGAGCAAGAGTGAGACCCTGACACACACAAAAAAAGCCCAGCTGGGCCTTGTAGTGTGTGCCTGTAATCCAAGCAACTCAGGAGACTGAGGCAGCAGGATGGCCACAGCCCAAGTCTAAGGTTTCAGTGAGCTATGATGACGCCACTGCACTCTGCTCAGGGAACAGGGTGAGAGACTCTGTCTCAAACAAAGAAACAAACAAACAAAAAAGTTTAGAAGGCAAGATTAGAAAATAATTGGTAGTTAAACAAATACTCATCTTTAGTGTTCTCCACATTCTCCCCCTGGATAATCTGTTTATATGCTCATGACCCCTAAATCTTTATCTAGAGCCCACACTTCACTCCTATGATGTAGACTGCTATCTATCAAATTATAGGCTGGTAGTTTGTTTCTCAAACCAATTAATACCAACCAATTCATTATCTCCTACTGTAAGGTTACTCTTGCCTGTCCTATTCTCTAACCTTATTGGCTGGAGTCATCCTCCTAAGGTTGACAAAAGGAATCATCCACTATTTCTCCCACCCTCTCATTTTCTACAGCCTATCATGACATATTGCCGATAAGGGCCTAATATTTTTCAAATAACTATCTTCCACTGTTCATTACTAATGCTGCTCCTTAGTTAGTCCTTCATCATCTTTTCCCTAGATTATAATGGCTGTCTTACTGGTTGATACATTTGTCTCAGTCTTATCAACCACAAATCCAGCCTCTATAGAGCATTAAGAGTGATCTACCTAAAGTACAAATCTAACTATGTCACTATTTTGTTTAAAATTGCCATTGGCTTTTTATCATGTAGGACTAAGCACAAGTTCCATCAACATTTAATATGAAGGGCTCCATATTCTAGATCCACAACTAACTCGTCCTAATGGAAAAAGTGGAGTCTCTAGCTTCTAGTTCTATGATTATCTAGGCCAATAGAACCGCCACAGGCCCCAGAGGTAGAGGGTGATGATGGTCCCAAAATCCCTTCCATAGAATCTACAAGATCAAAATTATTCTGAAAGAAATCCTGAGACTTTTTTTTGCCTTTTTTTACTATGTTAGCATTGACACTACGATGCAAAAGGAACAGTAGGTAAACTGCTGCTCTAAACAAGGTAGTAAAATATAATAATTAAAATATAATAGTCATTGTATTCTTCAGGACCATGTCTGTACTCAGAGAAAAAAATGTGACAAAGCAGGAAATTACTCATTTCACTAAATTCCAATCTATGACACACTGGCCTTTTTAATATTCTCTGTGATAAAATGAGAAGTGTACACAAAGTGCTTTTACTGCATACCAAAATAGGATGGTTTTCTCAAGGAAAAGCAGCTCTTGAAAATTAAATAAAATAAGCTGGTCAGTTCAAGGCAAACAACCAAAATATGTGCTGTCAATGACAAAATCTGAGCTTTCAAGCTAATAAGAATTTTAAAAAACTTTTATCTACTACTGTGATCTTGAGAGCTTTTAATATTCCTTCCTGAGAGACTAGAGGGAATATTAACAAATGTAATTTTTGATACTATACTGTGGAATGTGCTAACATTTGGAAAGTGTATATAACTTAGTGACTGCATATTTTCTAAATAACAAATGTATGATATTACAAATTTATGCATGATTAAAAAAATTCAAAGCATAAGAAAGACTAACAGACTGAACGTAATAAGAGTCTGAAAACCTCATTGATTTCATCTTGCAAGTAACTTTAAGAAACTACCACTAACTTAATTTTAGTGTAGTAACAAAGAAGAATATCTATGATAATCTCAGAAAACTCTCCTTTCTTCAACTACATCTCTAGGTGAGACTAGATTTTCTTCATTTGCTTCAACCAAAATAACATACCATAACAGATATGACAATCCAGCAATCTTCTATTAACATTGAGGAAATTTATGAAAATGTAAAATAATTCCACTTTTAATATTTTTGTTTGGTGAAGTAGAAATTTTTCAAAGATTGCCAATTACATTAGACTATCATTGCAAATGAATTAATATTTAAAGCTTTCCGTTTTAATTTCTAATATGATTCAAATAATGTATTTGAACAACGTAATTTATATATTTTATATATAATAGCCTACATTTTGTATTAATATAAAATATTAGGATAATTAATATATTAATAATATGTTGTAATTTATAGTAAAAAAAAGTCCCTATACTGAAAATTTGTAATGGTATTAAAGAATCTTGAGGGGAAAAAGTTATAGAACTTTGGAGTGAGACTGTCATCTGCCTATTCATACATGTAACGAAGATTTTATTTCCTTTTCAAACAGCAGTATCATGTATATCTTTATATTCAAGCATTTGGCAGCATTCCCAGCATATACAGAATACAAGCTTCAATGAATACAATGGATTCAATGAGTGAACCACTGAACAAAAGTAATTAAAAAATAGTAAATAAGCCAAAACATAAAATTGTAAAAAAAAATATATATATAAATCAACACTCTCCCTACTCTACTTTAAATTGATCTTTGATTCATTGCATTTATACATACTACATAAATTTCATTGATCATGCTCAGAACTATTGAACTAAGTCTCTTGGCACCTTAGGACATGTCAGTTACTTAACAATTGCCCTAAATACGTAAGTTCTTTGAACACTTTATACTCAACAACTAACTTCAGTTAAACTCATTATCTAAATTGTATTATAAAGTTGCTGTTCAAAATAGCACATGCTACATTCAAATATTTTAAAAGCTTAGTGTGATTAGAAACAAGTTTAAATTCTGGTTGTAAACATTTCCCTGTAATTGCTGGCTTATTAAATATAATGCATAGAAAGTATATTTAGCTCTCAAAGAGCCACAGCAACCAAAAATAAATGATATCCCCAAAGAATGCCAAGATTTTGTATTAGCTGGTAACTTGCATGTCCACCACCTCCTTGCCTTTGAATTAACTGAAACCATATAGGAAAAAGTATACTTTGCTCTATTCTTGTAGGCCTGCAAAGATGCTAGAGAAAGACTGCTTGTTAACCTATTACCCAAATAAGCGAAATGAATGAAAAAAAGTTGTAACTTTTGTCAACAAGGATTTAGCCAATGCAGTACTTATGAGAAATTTTGCTTTTTCACTTACTTTTGCCACACTTTCTCTCCAAGGTGTACACTTTTGTAATGAACAGTGAGATGATCCCTACGACCAAAACATTTCCCACATTCTTCACACTGATGAGCTTTTTCACCTTAAAATAAAGACACACATATTTTGATTATAATATGCATTTCAGTTCTTTCTTCCTCCAGACATTCCACCAAACATTAAGGTTACATGGTGGGAAATACACCAAAAAAGTGAAGTCACCCTTTATTATGACCTATTTCTTTTATATTCCTTACTCAAATAACTTTGTTCAAAGAATCTATACTTAATTGAATACACATGAATCCTTTCCCCACTGAGAAAAGAAATCAGTTGCCTTTGCTGTAGACTTGAAATCCTACCTTTCAATGTAACAAAGCAAGATAAATAAAATTACTTCAAGCTCATGAATTGTTTTTAGAAATATATGTATATCTCTGGATATCAAACACCTCAGATGGACATACGTTAAATCAAGATGAGGCTGTTTTACTGTTTATAAAAAGAACCTGAACATTTTCAGATCTTTGTACTTTACTTTTAAAAGATCTTTTCATCTGTGGGGATTTCTTACATTTGCAATGAGCCAAAATACAGATATAATGAGAATTCTCCCTAAATCCAATTTCTCATCCCCATACGTAGACTCAGGTACAAAGGCTTTGTTTTTAAAAAATCACCTTCTCAATACCAGTGTGGAAGTAAAACATGTGACCTCTAGAATTAGGAATTTAGAATTCTCCTCTTAAAAAATGAAAATGCATGATTCCACAAAAAAGGTCATGAGACCTTTAGCATCTCTTAGGAACAGTGACTAACAACTGTAACCTACCTCACTGAGATCATTTTAAAAAATTGCCATCTGTTGCATATTTTATATTTAAATCATTTATAATAATGGTAATAATCACCTGTTCTACTGTGCTCATAGAGATGGTTCTTTCCCATTATTGTGCTCACATAGTTGGCTCTCTTAGTACTTCCTGAACATCAATCTAAGAGGAAAATATGAAAGAAATCCCCAGAATATAAAAATCATAAATACAGTATAAAGATCTGAAATTGATCAGGAAAATTAAGGTATTCTTTTCTAAAAACAGGATTTCAAACTTCACTACAACATAAACTTTTAACATCCAATTATAATCATTTCCATTTAGACATCTAAGTTTCACCACTTCTTCTCAGTCTAATGAAAATGAGAAATATCACCATGGCTTCTCGGTTTAGGAAAGTGCCAATACCAATTATTGCACGTATATGCATGTACTATGCAAAATATAAATTTTGAGTATTTACTTAAAATTAAACTTTAAATTATACTTTATAGGCACAAAGAGTGACCAAATGACATTACAGCAAACAAGTCATAAAATCAGTCATGTCCTTTTCAGATGCTTTTTCAAAAAGGGTTTTAGGACCAGAATTACAAAGGGGTAACTGACATAAATCATTAAAATTATAGCCAACATAAACATGTCATATTATGTTCTTTTCAGGTGCTTTTAAAAAGGATTTTGAAAATAGCATTACAAAATACAGCTTACCTGAATGTATTTTTTTGTGCTTTGTAAGATGGTCATGACGAATAAATGTTTTTCCACATTCATCACACTCATATCTTTTATCATCATGATGTACTCGTAAGTGAAGTCTATAAAGAAAAAAAAGTTTGAAGACTATTGAAACTGGTGAGATAAAAGGAAAAAGTCCAATAATGAATAAATGATGAGTACTGAGCTGTCCATTCAATCTCTTATCCATATTGTTTGCTCTGTCTATACTTTCACAGTCCTTACTTGTCTTTTAGTACCAGACTCCAGGGACCTTACTACTCACCTCTTTCAACATTTGTATAATATATAGATGACAGTCCTTCCTGACTTTAGATCTTAAATCTGCTTCCCTGAATCTACCAAATGTCTAGGGTTGTTATCCATCTGCCTGGCCAACTCTCAAAGATTTAAAAAGTGGGAGTAAATTAGGAAGGAATTAAAATCAGATAAACGGGATAAATATACAGTGACTAGACATAAGATAATGACAGCAACTGATACAGCCAGAAACTGAGGACTAATCCTATTCTAGATAATTTTTAGCAATTACAAATTGATAGTTGAGAATTCACTGTATTTTATAAGAACACAACTTTATGAAAATTATATTTTACTACTTTTCTTCACACTGATGGAACAAAATGTGGCTCACTTTATAGTCACCCAAAGACAGATAATAGAAGGTTTAAATTACTAAGATTAATTTAATTTGAATTATTTTTATCCCCAGAATCCTCTATCCATCTATATTCTAATAAAAGGAATTGCTCTTCTATTCTAATGGCCAAAATAGGTACTAATACTAACAAAACGACAATCACTCACCAGGCAATATCTAAAGGGGAAACATCTGTTTTAACTTTTAAAAAGCAATAAATTAAAGTGTACATATTGAAGCCTTATAATTAAAATTAAGAACATAAACACTTGATCTCAGCCAAAGGCAAAGAAGTGATTATAAACATAAACAAAAATTAAACTTATATGCATATATTTTCTTCCTTTTTTTTCCTGAGGCCAGGTCATCTTCTAGCCTCACTGTCACCTTAAACTACTGGGTTCGACATTCTTCTGCTTCTGCCTCACTCTGAGTCCCTGAGTAGCTACAGGGGTGCATTCCATCATGCCAAGCTAATTTTTCTTTTCTTTTTTTTTTTTTCTTTTTTCTGTAGAGACAGGGTCTTGCTCTTGCTTAGGCTGGTCAAACTCCTGGCCTCAAGCAATCCTCCCAACTCAGCCTCCCAGAGTACTAGGATTAAAGGTGTGAGCCACCATGCCTGGCTTTTACAAATATTTCATCAGTAGTTACATATTTGTTTAGGAAAAAAACTTCTCATAAATAGTAAATGTGGTCAGGGATTGAGCCTGTCTGTATAATTAAGTTACAATTAACACACAAAGACTCTCTAAAATTGAGAATGCCAGAGTTTTTGATTTTGCCATATTTTCATACTATAATATCTTTAATAATAAAGAAGAAATATACTAAGTTTAAAACACCAGAATTTTAATGAATTGTCATTCAAAATAAAAGTAATGAAATAAGATAACTTAGTAAAGCTTTCAGTAAACCTAGTGATAAGGAAATATTTAATAATATTTTATATCAAAAAATTAAGATAGTAATAAAAGCTATAGAAAAAATTATTCGGCTCGGCGCCTGTGGCTCAAGTGGCTAAGGCGCCAGCCACATACACCTAAGGTGGCGGGTTCGTATCCCCAGCCCGGGCCCGCCAAACAACAATGATGGCTGCAACCAAAAAATAGCCGGGCGTTGTGGCGGGCGCCTGTAGTCCCAGCTACTTGGGAGGCTGAGGCAGGAGACTCGCTTGAGCCCAGGAGTTGGAGGTTGCTGTGAGCGGGATGTCATGGCACTCTACCGAGGGGGACAGCTTGAGGCTCCGTCTCAAAAAAAAGAAAAAATTATTCAGTAAAACTTTTCTGCTGAAAATTTGTATATCATAAGGACTAAAAACTGTTTTAATTCAACAAACTTATTAAAGCAATGATAAGAAAATAGGTCTAAAATGAATATACAATTTTATCTTAACACAGGAAAAAATGGCATTACTTACCTGTATGAACTTCCATGACGAAAACTTTGTCCACAAATACTACAAAGATGAGGCTTTTCTCCACTATGAATTCGTAAATGTTCTTTCAAAGTAGTTCTGTATTAAAAATATATATTTAAATGCTATTTAATGCTATTACACACATATATAGTAAACCAGAAAGGTGTTCCAGCTAACATATATGAGAACTCGCCCCTCTGTTCTCCTACAGTACTTTTGCTTTTTATTGGATTGATTTCTTACCAGTATACAAATATGCTTGTTGTGTCTGTCCCCTTAAAAAAGTAGAAAAAGTAATTTTGGCTTTTTTTTTTTTTTATTAAATCATAGCTGTGTACATTAATGCAATCTTGGGGTATAATGTGCTAGTTTTATACACAATTTGAAATGTTTCCATCAAACTGGTTAATATAGCCTTCACAGCATTTTCTTAGATGTTGTGTTAAGATATTTATATTCCATACCTAGTAAATTTCACACGTACCCTTGTAAGATGCACTATAGGTATGGTCCCACCAATCACTCTCCCTCCGCCCAACTTCCCCTCTCCCTTCCCAAAGAATTTTGGCTTTCCCTGCCATTTGGTTTGTTCAGAATTATACAGCATAAGCAAAATTATGAGAAGTATAAATAAAAAATGTTAACTGTCACAGTGAAGTAAGTTTTGACAGAGAAGGTTTAATAACATTTAAGTAATCCAGTTTATCAGTATTATTCCTTCCAAGCATGTACTCAATACTTGTTGAAAAAATGTTGTAAGGCAAAAAAAAAAAAAAAAAAAAAATCACAGGTTATTTCTAGCTTCCAGATGCTGATATAAAAAAAGCAATTTATATAAAAAATGTAATTATTGCTGCTCCAAAGTCTTACAATGACCCTGGAAGGGCTGCCGTGAAACCATTACTCCTGTAAGTACCTCATTTTAGCTAAAGTATTGTGTAAACACAAGCAGTTATTTTGGAGGGTGGGGGGAGTGAAAAACAAATTTAATTGACTTTTGCTGGTTTTTACCTGTTACTACTCTAGTCATGTACAACTAATGATATTTTGGTCAATGACAGACTGCATCTATAATGGTGGTCTCATAAGATTATAATGAAGCTGAAAAATTCCTATTGCCTTGTGACATCACAGCACAACATATTACTCATGTGTTTGTGGTGACACTGGTATAAACAACCAACTGTGCTGCCAGTCACATACAAGCATAGCACATATAATGGATTACAGTACATAATATTTGATGGTAAGTGACTATGTTACCCTTTATATATTTATTATGCTATACTGTTTATCATTTAGAGTATACTCCTACTTATAAGAAAAGTTAACTGCAAAACAGTTACTTCTGGAATTCAGGAAGTATTCCAGAAGAAGCCATTATTATCATATAATAGCTCTATGCGTGATACTGCACCTGAAGACCTAATAGTGGAACTAGATGTGGAAGTGACAGTGATATTGATGATACTGACCCCCTGTAGGCTCAGGTTAATGAGCATTTGAGTCTTAGCTTTTAATTAAAAAGTTTAAAAAGTCAAAAAAAATTATATAGAAAAAACTTATAGAACATAAAAACTATTTTTACACACCTGTATGATGTGTTTGTTTTTTAACCTAAGTGTTATCATAAGAGTCAATTGTTAAAAAAATTAAGTTTATAAAAGTAAATTAAAAAATATAAAATTAAGGTTAAAATGTTATAGTAAGCTAAGGTTCATTTATCACTGAGAAAGAAAAAATGTTTTTATAGATTCTGTATAGCTTAAATATTTAGTGTTTATAAAATCCTAGACCTTCCCATTTGTTCATCACTCACTCACTGACTCACCCAGAATAACCTGCAGTCCTGCAAGCTCCGTTCATGATGTAAGTGTAAATGCACCATTTCTTTTTCTCTTTTATACCATATTTCTACTGTATCTTTTCTATCTTTAGATATGTTTCAATCCATATGTTACACTATAACATGATGTATAGGTTTGCAGTCTAGAAGCAACATGGTATACTACACTACATAGCCTACATTTGTGTAAGTATACTCTACATTGTTCACACAATAACTATACATTTCTCAGAACATATACCAGTCATTAAATGAGACATGACTGTCACACCAAGCTTAAAGGCTGAATATGAAATAAAGGTAGAGCTTTGCCAGTAGATGGTGCTCTTCTACAAGGTCCTCCAACAATTGAAAAATAATAGCCTGCAGATATACCCAGTTTTGTCTAAAATATCCCTAAAACATCCCTAGACCCTTACTATTAAGTAAATAGATGGAAAGATTTTCTTTGGGTTTCCTTCCTTTTTTTTTTTTTTTGGCTTGTTTGATTTTTGTTTTTATAAAGTATCTTTAAGGGAAAAAATGAATTTATAATATATATAATACATTTTATGATTTATCAATCTATAAATGTTTTCATATAAATACAGCATACTGACTTTCCTACTCAGTTGCAATATGTTAAGAATGCCATTTCTAATTTTTTTAATTATGAAACTTTTATATACTAAAGAAGACATAAAATTTGTATGTATGGCTTAAAGAATAGTATTATGCCCTTATATGTAGATAGGACACAGAATATTACTGGAACACTACTAGTACTTTAGAATGCATCCACATATTCCTTCCTGATCTCATCCTCCTTAATCCCTCTCCTTAGAAACAACCATTTATTTTAAGCATTCCACTTTTTTGTTTAAAGTATATCTATGTACATATACATAATTAAACAATATATCAACATGCTTCTGAAAGACTAAGTAGCAAGCACAAACCTAACAAAATAGCCACTATTAGACAGAGGACCCAGAATTTACTACGAACAGAATTCCTGGATTGGAGTCTACCTGTACCATCCCTGAGAGTTAACCAGAGTCCTTTCTGGCATATCACTGGGAAAAATCATGAGTCATTACAGAAAAACAGAATTCACCCACAGTTCGAGCATCTGACAAAGGTAAAGTAGACCAGGTATTGAAAGTCTAGCAGAAAAATGGTCAAAGTAAGTAGGCTGCACTATATATTTTTCTCTGAGCTTACCATGACCTACCTCAAATTCTCATGGATAACTCTAAAAAGAACACTTCCATGAAATGAAATGAGGATCCTCAGTTAAATCAAGCAAAAGGGGAACCTCAGCACACAGGCAGAGTACAGATAACAAGATCTACTCGAATACTCTGTTCCCTAGTTAAAGAAGGAAACATGCTAGCAGGGATCTTGGCAGTGACAACTTTTATCATGCCATAGGTCATACTACTAACTGTATGGACTATCCATTACATATGATGAACCTCTGATATATTGGGATCTTCATTCGCTATCCTCCTGTGAACTCCCTTTACTGCTCTTCCATGTAAGAATTCTTATTTCCTGTGGCCCTTGTCTTCCTCTTTATGGGTTAGTTTTTTGACACTTATGAAAATGTCTTGATTCTATCCTCAGACTTGATTAATATGACTGAGAATAGAATTCTAGCAGATTAGAATCTAGACTACTACACATCCTAGAGGTGCTGTTAAGAAAAGTCCTAGTATTCTAACCAATATGTGGGACTTTTTCCCTATCCAAAACTATGTAAACATTTCCCTTTCTCTCCAGTATTCTAAAGTATCTTAGTGATATACCTTGCTATAAGTATGTTTTCATTTCATGGCCTAAGCATTTATGGATCATTTCTATCTGGCAGTTCATGCGTTTCATTCCTGAAAATCATCTTGGATCATTGTAATGATCTCCCTGTCCAACCCCACCTCTCCATTTTCTCTGTTCTTACTTTTTGGAACTCTGATTATTTAGACATTGGACTTGCCTGGTCCTCTAATAATCTAATCTTTATTTTATATTTCCGTGTTTTGCCCTTCTTTTTGTCCTGCCACTCTTCAAATTGGTGTCTATAGTTTGGTCATCATGCTTTTAACTTCTCACAGCTCTTAATTATTATTTGAATGTTCCTTTAATATAAAATCCTATTTTTGTTTAATCAATTCTGTATCTTCAGCTGGGGAAAAAAATTTAATAATTGTTTATATTTTTTTATAAAATGTTCTTCTTCCTTCATAACATGTTTTCCTTAAAGTTCTTTTATCCCCCCGGACTTTATTGTCCATTAAAAGTCTGACCCCACCTTAAATCTTGTAATCCTTGACTATCTGCTTATGATTAAGTATGAAAGGATAAAAATAGATGGAAAGGCAAAAGAACATGGGGGGGTCTTGATACTCTGCCTTTGCTGAGGTGAGTATCTGGGTATACCACTAAGGAATATGTTTGCCCTTATGTTGCTCAGATTTTCAGGAAGAATCTTCTAATCTGCTGTCCGGAAAATGAAATCTAAAAGCTAAGATACTGGAGGGGAGAAGGCCTAAGGGCTCACGGCTTTTAGCACTCAGAATACGTTCAATTGTATAACAACATGGCAGACTCCAGTCCAGCAATTCTCTGTTGGGATAGGCCCAGTAGCAAAAGCACGTGCAGATGGTAAAAAGAATCAAAATCCAATGATCTTACTTATAAAATTTCTGTTCTAGTGCTCCCTGTTCTGCCTCTCTTTCACCCCTGTCCAGGGGTACTCGATATCGCTAGTCCCTAAGCCTTTTGTGGATTCTGTGATATAAAGTCTTCAACTTCTCTATCCCCACTTTGAGATTTGCCTTGCTTGGATCCATTAAGTCTGTTACCACTGATCGATTTTCTTTATAGTTTCTAAATCTGTGTCATTTTTGTCACTTTTCTTTTCTGTCTTTTACTGTCTTTAAAAAATAAATAAAACCTTTTACTGTACTTTTAGTGGAGTTTCAGAAAGAGATCTGGTAAATCAATCATTTAAACCTACAAATCTTCACTCCTTATCTTCTATAATACTTTTTATAACTTCTATTTTCCTTATATTCCAAGCTAAAGCATAACTCAGGTACTTTGTGTCTGGAGATTACTCTAACCCTTATAAACCATATTCACTGATTGTTTCTACATAACGCTAGTAGGATTTTATAGGTGTGCAAATTTTTTTTCACCTTTCTCGTACTGATTTTCCACAGATAAAGCAAGTCCATTTTCTCTTTCCACCATGAGTACATTCTATATGGCGTTTCAAATTTCCAGTGTCATTAAACTGGCGACCACATATATCACAGGGAAAAGGACCTAAAAAGGAAAAAATAGTGTTTGTTTAAAAAGTTGGTACTAATTTAAATTTAATAGGAATACTATAAATTTATGCCTACCACTGTTAGTGCATATGTCATAATACACTGCAATTATAGTTCTCTCTTCTACATTGCTTATTCCTAGAAGACAGCCTATAATCATTTCTATATCCCTATAGCCAAGTGTAGGGCTTAGCATCTAACAGAGAGATAACAAATGCTGAATGAACTCAAAAACTGAAACGGCCAATTCTTAGTTTGAAATTAGAATGGAAAAAAAGTAGAAAATGCTACATACTAAATTTCTGGGAAAAGGAGATACTAATAAACTTCAGAAAAATGGAACAGAGTTAAGAGAGTTCATGGTTTGGAAATATAGTACTGTTTCTATAAATAAGCATTTAGTAATGCTGAGTAGGTTGAAAATATTGTGGCACATTCCTGTTAGTCTTACAAATTAAGCCAAGACTTCTCATACTAATATTGACATTTCCTGGATTCTAAATTTCACTGTGATTCTACCAAATAAACAAATGGAGAAAAGAAAGTGTTCTACTTAATGACAAACTAAAAGGAAGAAAAAGGATGTGTGAGTGAGAAGTAAACATAGTTCAAGGAAGCTGTGTATTTGAAAGAATATATCTCAGAATTTTAAAGGAAAAACTGTAGAAGATATTTAAATGAATTAATCATAACAGTACAGTGGGAAAAAGTGGAATTAGGACATTGGATTAAGAAACATAGCTATAAGCAAAAATGCTTAGTAGCCACAATAGCTTTGGTGAGTTTCAACATAATTTCACACATTAGAAAAGAGAGATGACCTTTGTATATCATAATATCTTCAACATATTCTCATTTAAAATCTCTAATATTTCATTTTTCATGAGATCTGAATCTTTTATTTAGCTATTAACTCATTCAACAGGTATTTACTGATTCGTTAATTTAAATTATGCACTGTGTTACATACTATGAAAAATGTCTCTACTTCTCTGCAACAAAAAATGGGAGAAAAAAGGCTCCACAAAGTTGGGAAAAGAAGCAGTATTTACAAAGTTAAAAATAAATACAGTAAATAAAAGAGCCAATATGAGCTTATTATGGGAAATGTACATTAGGTAAGTGCAATATCTACTAATAAAACTTTTTATGAAGTAATAACTCTATGTACAGTCGATGGCTCCAGCAGAGCAAAGGAAGAAATGAAGCATTCTCTTTCATGTTCAGTTACTTCACAGGGTTCTTCATAGAAAATATCTACTTTTTCCTCTACACTGAAGATCCAGTTTTGCATGTATCTCACTTCTTTGAACTTTTATTTATGAAACTAAGCTGTGAACTTAAACTAAAGGAGATTTTCATGCTAATTTTTTAGATACTACAAAATTACAAGATCTGACTTTTTAAAGCTAAACTATACTTTTACACTTATAAATATAGATATATTAAAAATTCTTCTCCCTTAACTGTTCAGATTGCATTGCTTAGATATCTTTCCCTCTGACCTAACAGAATACATAATCTTAGTATGGATAGCAAGAACACGACTTTGAATAAGCAAAAGCAGTAGTTCCTCAAGTGTGACCTGGATCACCTGTATCAGCATTACCTGGGAACTTGTCAGCAATGCAAACTGTGGGGTCATACCCCACTTGAAATCATTTGCTCTGGGCAATAAGCATTTTAATAAGCTCTCCAGTTGATCATGATACACATCAAATTTTGTGCACTTCTTATCAAAAGCATAAAGTGATTCAAGGAAAAGCAGCATAGAGTTGGAATGCAAAAGAAGTTAAAAAAATTTATTTTTATATATATAATTAAATATTCTTGAATAGCATTATATAAGAAAAAAAGAATATTGCTTTGAGTATTTTAAACATACACATATATAAAATACTGAAAGCAATATTCCATTGGTTTTCTTTTTGAGACAGAGTTTCACTTTGTCACCCTCGGTACACTGACATGGAAGTCAGAGCTCACAGCAACCTCCAGCTCTCGGGCTTAGGCAATTCTCTTGCCTCAGCCTCCCGAGTAGCTGGGACCACAGGCGTCCACCACAATGCCTGGCTAATTTTTTGTTGTTGTTGCAGTTTGGCCGGGTTTGAACCCACCACCCTTTTTTTCATTAAATAATGATGGCCAAAAAAATGCAAAGGTACTATTTCACAAGCCATAAAGAATGCAAACTCTGCCTGGCTTTATATCTGGCACATTGATACATTATTACTTTATTTAATCCTTAAAACAATGTGTATAAAGTAGGCATTACTAACCCCATTTCACAAACAAGGAACCTTGTTATCTGTTCCAGATCATATAGTAAACAGTTAAGTCAGACTTAGAAGACAAGAGTAGCAATGAGATCTTCTACTTACACTTCTGTATCATGCCCTACCTATTAAATTTTTTCTGCCAGTAAATGTCAACCTAACCTAGTAAATGTCAACTCTTATTAAAAATACATATGAATTACTTAATCGTTGTAAAAAATATTTGTGTTCAGTGCACTATAATGGAATAATTAATTTACTGGCTTGATTACCCACTGCACTGTAATGTGATTTGGCAGGAATTACATACTTAGACCTTAACACAGAGCTAATCATATAGTCAGCAGTTGTTCAATAAATATTTACTACACTGAATGTCACATGTCCTTCTCCTGAGTATTTTCCTCAGTGAACTTTAGATAGCAGATTACCTAGCTAAACCTTAATGCCTAGCATTTCTGGAACACCTCTCATTATTGATATGCTGAAGCATAATAGAAAAATAATCTTTCAACAAGTCATAAAAAATCTTGCAGTTCGACCACTTTCAGTAAAGCCCTCTTTAATAATTCTAACAGCTGATCAGTTCAGCATATGATTACATGCTTGTATACTTGCACTAATGGGAAAGTAACTATTATGTAAGATAACTTAATTGGTAAATTTGAACACTTAAAAAATTTATATTGAAGCTAAACTTACATATTAGGATTTGTACCCTATGTTATTACAACATTTATTTATTTACTAAATGATATACTTAATAAAAGTTGAAACAGAATATCAGGAATGGAAAAAATAGTAGAAGCAAATATGAGTGGCCTTGTATTTTAGTCATAAAAATTATTACACTTTGTTACGATGTTTCCACAAGGTAAAACCAAGAAAATTACCTGAAGTTTTCATTTCAGAAAGAAAGAAGGCCATTAATTCTCCAATAAAAACTTTTTTTCCTGAAACTAGACTTTAAAAATTTCTCACATAAAACATGCACTCATGGGCGGCGCCTGTGGCTCAGTGGGTAGGGTGCTGGCCCCATATACCGAGGGTGGCAGGTTCAAACCCAGCCCCGGCCAAACTGCAAACAAAAAATAACCGGGTGTTGTGGCGGGTGCCTGTGGTCCCAGCTACTCGGAAGGCTGACACAAGAGAATCACTTAAGCCCAGGAGTCAGAGGTTGCTGTAAGCTGTTAAGGCTATAGCACTCTATGGAGGGTAACAAAGTGAGACTCTCAAAACAAACAAACAAACAAAAACATGCACTCATGTTTTTGTCATGTACATGTCTCCAAGTACAGTTTGGTAACTATAAAAACTGTTTTTACATCATGGGCTCTTAGAAATGTTAAGGTGGAATATTATGAAAGAACAATGTAGTAAAGGCAATTTGGAGAAGATTAAGCTAAAAAGATAATCTTCCAGCATATACTAGTCTGATATAATAGAATCATAAGGACTAAGCATCCCTTGTTGCACAAAACAGCCTTGAAAATATTTGAAAACAGCTGATCTCCCTTTTCCAGACAAAATATTTCAAGATCTTTCAAGTTTTTCACATGACATGATTTTAAGACTTTGTATCACCAAAATTATCCACCTCTAAAAAATGTTACTTGTGAATATCCATCTTAAATGTGGTATCCAGAAATGAACTCAATTTTCTAGATCAATCAAAATCAGACCATTACTTCCCTAATTCTGTAAAATGTACTTTTATTAATATAGCTTAAAACTAAATTAATTTTTGTCAATCACATCACATTACTGGTTCACAATGTATCTAAAAAGCTATTAAGCCTATTGGTAAAATGAGTTTGGATTATACACCATTGTATAGTTCTTTAAGACCCAATGACTAAAAATGAGATCATTCCCATAAGTTTACAACTTTGTATTTGTTCTTAATTAATTTTAACTTAATTTGCTTTGACCTATTGACGAGCATACAGATTTTTTCTTCACATTGTCATTTTCTGGTATATTAAATCCTCCTACCAGCTTTAGGCCATCTAAAATTTCATAAGCATGAAGTATGTCTTTTTATCTAAGTTATTACAAAAGCAATGCATAGAACACGGAGAAAGCTTCTTCCTGAGTTGACAATAATTCATAATTGAGATTAGCTGTAATAAATTTACCAAACTATACTATTATCTAGATCATAAGTCCAGATGGTCATAAGCATTACGAAGAAAATGCTAATTTTTTTCCATTGAATACAATACTGAATTCAAAATCTACTAAGTTTATTACATTCCTTGAAAAATGAGTCTTTTCCAAAACAGAAATGCCTCATCCTAGGTACTCCCAAACCTATCCAACAATTAACTGTGAATAAATGCAGTTAATGGCCACTGTCACATATGCCAACAACAAAAAAAGAAAGAAATCATATTTATTTATCTCCAGAAACTATAGCGTAGACAGTACTCATCCTAATTTATATGACTTCCTCTGTCCAACCCTTCCTCAAGGTTCATCAAGAGTGGTTCAACAACACCCAAAATGAAATTCTTAGACATAAAGCTAACAAAATATGAATAAAATCTACAAAACTTGAAATAAAGAAATCAAAGAAGAATTAAATAAAAAACGATATTCCATGTTCATGTATAGAAAGACTAGATAATGTCTAGATGCCAGTTTTTACCAATTTCATCTATACACTCTATATAATCCCAGTCAAAAATCTCAGCAAGTTTATGGATATTGACAAACTGATTCTAAAGTTCACATGGAAAGTCAAAAGATACAGAACAGCCAACACAACTTGAAGAAGAAGGATGAAGTACTGACACTATTCAATTTCAAGATTTAATATAAAGGTATAGTAATCAAGACAGTGTGATATCAGTGAAAAAAATAACACAAATAGAGATCAATGCAACAAAAATCACTGACACCATCAAATGCTGGTGAGAACATGAAGCTACAGAAACTCTCATGCATTCCTAACTGGAATGCAAAATAGTATAGCCATTTTAGTAAGACAGTTTGGTGGTTTCTTACAAACTAAATATACTCTTACCATCTGATCGAGCCTTCATGCTCCTAGGTATTTATTCAAAAACGTTGAAAATTTCTGTCTACACAAAAACTCCCACACAGATGTCTATAGCAATTTTACTTATGGGCCATAACTTGGAGGCAACCAAGATGTCCTTCAGTAGATGAATGGATAAACTGTGGAATATCCTGACAATAGAATACAATCATCCCTAGTTATTCACAGGAGACTGGTACCAAGATTTCCCCACAAATACCAAAATTCTCACATGCTCAAGTGAGAATGGTATGGTAGCCCCTGGATCTAACTGGGCCTGAAGCTAGTATATCCCCTGGACTTTCCAGTATATGCACTAATAAATATTCTCTTTTGCTTAAGTTAAAAATAAATGAAATAAAATGCATTTGCATATAAATTATGCATATCCTCCCATATACTTTAAGTCATCTCTAGATTCCTTACAATTTCTAATATAAACACCATGTAAGTAGTTGTTATAATAAATTTTTAATTTGTATTTTTAACTGTACTATTTTGGGGGAGGGTTTCAATATTTTTGACCCGTAGTTGGTTGAATCAATGAGTGCAAAATTCATAGATTCAGCAGGCCATGTGTATTAGTCAGCAATATAATTACACTAAGTGACGGAATTCAATCTGAAAAAGCTACAAACAGTATCATTCCAACTATATGACATTCTGGAAAAGGCAAAACTATGAACACAGTTCATAGAAAAGATCAGTGATTGCCTGGGGCTGGTATCAGGAGAGATAAAGGTGGGGAGCACAGAGAACTTGCAGGGCAGTGAAACTACACCACATGATGCTATAATAATGGATATATGTCACTGTAGATTTGTCCCAAACCACAAAATGTATAACATCAAGACTCAAGAGTGAACATTAACGTCAACTATACACTTTGGATTATTATGCTATGTCAATGTAGGCTTATCAACTGTAGCAAATATACTACTCTGATGGGGAATATTAATATGGGGGAGGCTGAGTATGTGTGGAGGAAGAGAGTATATGGGAAATACCTGTACCTTCCTTCTAATTTTGCTATGAATCTAAAACTGCTCTAAAAAAAGCTTTTAACAGAACAGTAAACACTATCTAGGGAATAGGCATACACACAACACTGACTGAGCATTACAAAAGCTATCCAGGTAACCAGAAACATTTGTACCCCTATAATATTTTGAAATAAAATAAAACCTATGCTAGGAAAAAAAAAAGAAAGGAAGAATGGTTGTAGCAAGCTCCTCCAGCATGATGTGATATCAATAATTGCTATGACTGCTTTAAGAAAAAGTAACTAACTTACCCAGATGAAACTTTTCTTGATGCTTTAAGCGTGCAAACCGTGATTTGAAATGTTCTTCACAATAGGTACACTTAAAAGGTTTATCTTGAGAATGTAGAATCATATGTTCCTCCAAGTGTGGTCTTCGAGTAAAAGATTTCTTACAAATCTAAAAATAATTACATACAAAACATAAGAGAACCTGAATAAAAAACTACAATACAAAGCACATAATGAGGAAAAAATACATACAAATCCAAGTAAAGAAAAATTTCTCCCAATAGAAAACTTTAAAAAGTAAAATTAAATTCTAATTGTGCAGAAAAAAAATGCCCTAGAGAAATTATAGTAAGGAATTATTTTAAATTAGTTAAAATGTCAGCTGAGTTTCAACTCTACATTTCTAATCAGGGTATAAAATAATCTTACTATCTTAATTCTAGTCAGGATTTCCATATCTATGCAATACATATTTTAAGGCTCTTATATGGCAGTAAGAACAAAAGGTTTTATTATTGTTGCCGTATAATTTGTTAAGAAACAACAAAAAATCAGCTCAAAATTATTTCTGAAATGGTCAGAAGAAAAACACAACTTTCAAGGAAATTTGACATACGTCATGTTTTTTAAAAGATGGGGTAAGCTACCACAATAACAACAATACAACAAGTATTTCAGAAACAATGCTAAGTAACTCACAGATTTTACTCATTTCTCATAATATCCTATGAGGTAGAAAAAATTATTATCATTTTATAGCTGAGGATGATGAAACTTAGAAGAAGATATCATCTTACAGAGACTCAAATACTATAATTAATAATTAACTTCTATTTCTAGAAGCTGAAATCAGAGAAATGGTAAGAATTTTCAATCCTTGGACTAAAGAAGGAAAAACTGATAGCTGGTGACTCTTTTAAATAAGATTCACCAAAAGACTGAAAAAAGACTTTACAGGTATACTAGAATAAAAGATGTACACACATTCTTTTCTACTCCTCCCACTTAAAAATAGAGACTAATTCTCCTCTCTTAAATTTACCTAGGCTGTAGTGACTTGTCTGACCAAAATATGGAAAAACTAATGTTCTAGGACTTTTGAAATTAGGCCATAAGAAGTCTTATAGCTTTACTTAGGCTTTTTATAACACACACTCACTCTTGGAATCTACCTGCTATGCTAAAAGGAGGCTGAAGTAGCCTCATAAAAATACCAAAATGGAGAAGAACTGAGGTTCTTGGTCAAAACATCTACCAATACCAAGTGTGAGTGAGCCACTTTGGAAGCAACTCCAGATAAGACTAGATCATCTACTAGCTAAAAAGCAAATCACTGCCCTAAATTTGGATTCTTGACACAAAATGATGAGACATATCAAAATGGTTGTTTAAGACCACTAAATTTAGAGGTAGTTTATTGCATAACAACAGATACCCAGAAATGAGTAGGAAATTATAACATTTTATACCTTGTACAACATTAATGTCACAGTTTATGTACGCAACTATGAACACATGGCATAGTGATTACAATAAAAATTAAAACTAGGATTTCCATTTCTTAGTCTATCATCTAAACACTAAACTGCCATGGTTAATCATGGTTAATTTACAAAAAAAAATTAGAACAGCTTTGTATAAAAGAAAGATTCTAAAAGCGAGATAAACTAAATTATATTACTTTAAAACCTTATCTTAACACAATAACTAAGAAAATGTGGTGAAGGCTATGTTGACCAGTTTGATGAAAGTATTTCAAATTGTATATAAAACCAGCACATTGTACCCCATAATTGCATTCATGTACACAGCTATAAAAAAAATTTTTAAATGATACATAAAATACAAAAAAAAAAAAAAACCTAATTACCTTACTTTCCCAAAAGCCAACATTACATTTACTTTGGTTTTCTAATACAAATTAAAAACTCTTACATCACATTTCCAACTTTCACTCTTAGTCTTCTTAATGGAAATAAATTCTTGTGCATTTTCTGGATGAAATCTACTTGAGACAAACAAAAAGATTATTAGAAGAAGATTGAATTAGCTAAATAAATATTCCACATGAATCTGTTGACAGTAATTAACAGAATCAGGTAATGATTCCCTTCATAAAGAGATAGTAACATGTAAACTCCTTAAGAATAAAGATATCATTATCATTTTAATAAATTTGTATGTATACCTGAATTTATGCAGAAATAGTCAAAGAAAAGTCTAAGTATCTTTTACATATATTCAGGAACCTAGCTATTTACAGATAATCTGCAAGGTAATTCACCAGATTTTTTTAAGTCCAGATTTTGGAAAATTTAATTGTTTAGAGTTAAAGGTTTAATCCTGTACTAAATACTCTTTATCTCAAATATTTTACATGTCAAAGACAAGTTAAGTATGAGAAATTAATTTCCTAGAGTTCTAAAACCATTTATCCTGATGATATCCTTGCCAAATCCCAAGACAGGAAACAGGATAATGAAAATGCTGTATCTTTAACTTCTATATTACAGACTATGTTCTAGTTTTAATATCAAAAACTTCATCTCAATAGCATGAATTAAAAATATAAACAAATCAATATTTCCTGCTCATTTCTTAATTTGTAGTCTCCGCAAAATGTTAAGCGGTGAAAGAACTGGAGACAAGCACTCCTTTAGCTTTCTAAATATTCAAATTCAGAAGGTACAATAATGTATATTATGGAAGCAAGATAATACTTGCCTCTTAACATGCTTGGCTAAAGTCTTCTTGCTTGCATGAAGTTTATTACAATAAGGGCACTTGTGCTCCTTCTTATGAAATTCTGTTTCATTACTGTGCTTCTTTCTGTGAACAGTTAGGTTAGACTTTGTTGAATAGCGCTGATGACAAATATCACACTCAAAGGGCTTCTCACCTGTGTGAACACGGGTGTGGCTCTCATATTTCCCTATAAAAAGAGAAAAACTAGGAATTAAATTCAGTACATGTGCTATACTATGACTGAATTTTGACATTGGAATAAAATCTCATGACTTAGCAAATTTAACATGCACATCCAAATCCACATACAAAACAAAAAAAAAAGTTTACCTAAATCTCTACTTCTTATAAACCTTAAAGACTTACTGCTTTGAGCTTACTGCTCAAATTATACTTTCCAAAACACTTAGGTTATTAAAAAAAAATTATTCATATTCACACATTTTAAAAATCATGACGTTTAGAAAATTATCTGAAAAGTGTTAGCAAATTCTCTGAATTTAAAATTTTAAAATACATTTTTAAAATTTGATATTAATCCTTAGCAAGGTATCTGTTCTTCATTTAAGATGATTTACTTTACTCTCATTATGTCCCTAGATTTATGTACCTGGTTATGAATCCTGGCTCTTTAAATAGCAGACTACATGACATTGAATAGGTAACCTTTCTATGCTTCAAATTTCTACATTTGAAAAATTGTATTTACTGTAGAGGACTTTTGCAAAAACAAATACATACACATAAAGCACTTAGAATGGTGTCTGACATAAGTTATAAATGAGTGGTGTCTATTATTATTACTATGTGATCTGTGTACTGTGAATGAAAACTACTTCCAAGAGAAAGGCAATAAAAATAGAAAACACATCAATATGAAGGCTAATTTTCAATTAAATGCTTAGCTTTGCTCTCTCCTGCAAAATAAATGGATAAATAAATTTTTCTTCAGGTGAAAGCCAATGTGAAAGGATAGCATTTCAGTCATGCACTTAAAAAATGGTTACATACTATATCATGAAAATGAGAAAAAAATCTCAAATATTCCAGGGCCACTAAGGAAAAGAGATAATCATAATTTTTTGTCTACTAAATAAAATAGATTCACCAATTTATTAGATATATTTATTCCATACATGATTGTATTTAATTAGTATATTATTTAAAAATTAATTACATTGTACTTCTCACATAAGAAACTGAAGAAAGGAAACTAAGGGAGACAGACATCCATCATAAGCAAAAAAAAACAAAAGTATGATGAAAAATCATACTATTAGAAATTTACATCCAGACCACATAATAAAATGCATTTCCATAAAAAATAAAAAATTTGGCAAAAAATTTGGGTAATAGTCTATGTATATTTTACAAATTACAGTCAGAAAACTCAGTCAATTTGGGAGCCCCTCCTAAATTAACTACGTGTTCTTAATTAATCTAATAACTTAACCTCTCTGTACCTGAGTCAGTAACACTTCAAGAGTAGTGAGAAATAAATGAATTAATAGGTACACAACATATACTCCAGCACACAGTAAGAACTAACAACTATTAGCCATTATTGCCACATGGGTTATTAGTCACAATACAAACATGTAGGTATACCTCAAATATACATAAGGGCATGTCTGATTTATCAATATCCTTATAACAGATCAAACTGGCATGATAGCTTTCTGACATTAGAAGGACTTCACTTTTTCCCCTTGCCACTGCTAAAAATGCCTAGTATCTCAGTTTCCTCTCTACCACTGCTAAAGCATATCTAACCATTTATTTACACATGAATGTACACAGCCCACCATTATCACTTTCTCTGCTGGGTTCAAGAAATCAGATCTAATTAATACTAGGAAAAGATAGAGAATTTTTTTTTAAAAAAAGTTTTTTTTGATTGTGGAAGTTTTCACATTTCATTTTTTTAATTCACTTTTTAAATTATGTAAATAATAAACATTCATGGTTACAAAACATGTAAACAGATCAAAACTACACAGTCTGATTTTTAAAAGATTAAATTTATAAATGATCTAGACTGAAAGATAATTTATCAACCTTCAAATGTTCAAATCTCTTCATTTTTATTTCCAAGTAAACAGGAACAGTAACTTAATAAAAATCTTAAAGTATAAGAAAAATTTTTTGCCAAATTCTTTATTTTCTATGGAAATGCGTTTTCTTGAAAGATGTTAAAAATAGAAATCAGTAGTGTTTTCCCTGTAAAGTCAGGAATTTCTTATTTTCACTTGAAAATAAAAATTAAGTGTAGTTGAATATTAAAGTCAATGAAATGGCAGTTAAATTAAAAATTAAAACTATTCTACTGGCCGAAGGCAGTGGCTCATTCATGCACTCTGGGAGGCCAAGGTCAGTGTATTGCTTGAGCTCAGGATTTTGAGACCAACCTGAGCAAGACCAAGACCCTGTTTCTACAGAAAATAGAAAAACTAGCCAGGCACTTGCCTGTAGTCCTAGCTACTTGGAAGGATGAGGCAAGAAAATCACTTAAACCCAGGAGTTTGAGGTTGCTATGAGCTATGATAACACTAGGGCACTCTACCCAAGATGATAGAGTAAGACTCGGTCTCAAAACAAAAAAAAAAAAAAGAAAGAAAGGAAAACAAAAAAAATATTATACTGTCATGTTTCTACAAACTAGGAGCCTTAAAAAGATTTAAGTAACAAAAAGAAATAAGAAAGTTTAGAAATTTAAACTAAAATAGAATTAGGTAAACCTAATAATTTTTCAAACCCATTTAAATAAATAACCAAAGTCAAAGACACCAATGAAAATTAAAAAGATGGGAGACTATACATCTTTTGTACTAATTTGGATGGAGGTGGAGCACGTTCTTCTTAGTAAAGCATTACAAGAATGGAGAAGCAAGAATCCAGCATACTCAATTTTGATATGAGGACAATTAATGACCAAGTACATGGGGAGGTGAGGGCAGAGAAAAGGAAGGAGGGAGGGAGGTGGGGGCATGGTGTTTGGCATACCTCTTGGGGGAGGAACACATTTATAAGAAGGACTTTGCCTGATAAATACAATTAGTGTAACCTGTATCTTTATACCCTCAATGAATCCCCAACAATAAAAAAAGAAAATATAGAAATTTAAATAAATCAAAGAATTTTTAAGTTGTTAATTCAAATTCCATAGGAATTGCAGAATTTGTACTTTTCTCTTCATGGATCTGAATTTCTAAACAAGAAAAAGAGATATAACTGGTTAGGAAATGCTGGACTCAGAAGAACTAGGTAGAATTTCAGGTGCTTATGGTAAAATAAAATTTTCATCTTCAAATAAATGTCATGTTTAAATCAATCGGAAAGGGTATAGGAAGGGTACTCCTCAGCAGAAAATCAACATCTACATATTTTCTTTACTTTTATGAGGTAGTGGATTCAATAGTAATGTATAAATCAAAATGCTCATTTCAAATTTATAATATCAAAGTTTCCATTAAAAAATAGTATTCCTTCACAGATATTAAACTACACCCAAGCATTCTTGATTGCCAACAAGAAATACATAACACTGTGAAATTTTATAACAGCATTTTTCTGAACTGAATCCCAACATGAACTGTGTCTCAAATCAGGAGTCATAAAGGAAAGACTTTCATATCAACAGATTAGACCTTGTGCTGAATGTACTCCCTTAAGTGGGTGATGACAAATTACTGTTGTCAAATTTTGTATGCAGTTTTTACAAAAAGAAACATCACCAAATTGGTTCATTATGTCTTTGATACTGCCAAATCTTAAATTGTATCTTGTAATATTCATATGGCATTCCCTAAATAATACATAATTAAAATATTTAGCCTTGAAGTAGAAAAATGTATCCTTATTGTAATTCTTCTCTACTAAAAACCCAGTGGAATTTCTTGTCAGGATGGACTAGTGAGTCACATTTAAAAAAATAAATAAAACATTTTCTACTTCTAGAAGAGATTGGGAATTTAATCTAAAGACACTAGTTCTCTGTAGAAATAATGCCCAAATATTCTCTTTTACCCTATCTGTCATCTCCTTATTTTTGCCTTTTTACCCACTAGGGTTTTGCTATAAGGGAAAAGGTCAAAGGACTCTTATTTTCATGAGAATTCCCTAAGAGAACAGCTGGTAGCTTAAGGAAAAACATAAATGAATCAGGAGTTTACTCCAAGCAACTTAAATACATCAAAAAGAATAAAAGATCCAAAGTAACGGAATCAAATTAGTAGATGACACACTGTGGAGCTAAGGGTTCCAGCAGGTCTCAAACTTACTCATTTCTCGTAAACCCACTTTAAAGCATCCAAATTAAAAGTTTAGGAAGGGTACCTAACTGGCTCTTAGAAGCCCAAAATCAACTTAACCCAAGCAAAGAGGTACTTAAATGACCTGATGTACTACAAAAGATACTAAGTAAAATGAAAATATATAACTTTCAGGCTCATATTCTAATGAAATAAATAGCAATAAAAAATCTGGCCCTTTTTAAAACCTATAAAAGGAATGTGGATGATATGAGGATGACTGGAAGGTAACCTTTGAACTGTTTTTTTGTTTGTTTGTTTGTTTTTTAGTAAATAGGGCTTCTGATAGACATGATACAAGAGGACATTTATGTTATGTGGATCTTCTTCTACATATTCTTTTCATTCCACCTATGAGTCCACATTCAGTGTAACTCTCTGCTCTACCCCAATCAATGTCCCATTCCCAATGTCACTCATCTTCCTAGTCTAACCAGGAGTCCTCAAACTATGGCCCGTGGGCCACATGCGACCCACCTACGACATTTATCCAGCCTGCCAGGTGTTTTTTGCCACCACTGCCTGTCCTGCTTAGCAGCTGACTAGTCCTGCGGGCCACAGTCTGGTCCTCCAACGGTCTAAGGGACAGTGAACTGGCCCCCTGTTTAAAAAGTTTGAGGACCCTTGGGAGCTGTATTATGTTACTGGTCCTTTGTTATATGACCCTTTTTGCCTCTCTGGCTCTTTTCCGTTCCTTTCTTTTTTCCAGTTTCCTTCTCTGCATTGAAGCTGGCATGATCTTTCTACAACTCTTACAAGATTGTCCTTTCTTTTGAATTTTTTTCAAGTGTCCATCACCTACTGGATAAAATCTAAACTCCTCTATAGCACACAAGCCATTCAATATCTGACCTTCACAACTTGCCCATCTTTATCTCCTGTCATTTTCATTATGCCTCCTTGTCCGTCTGGTAACCAGTCACACCTTAGCAATTTCCAGAACACAGTGCACCTCAATGCCTTTACACATGTTGGTCCTTCTTCCTTGTAAATTTCTTCCCTATTCCTTAAGTCTCAGTTCTAATACTTTCTGCTCTGTGAAACCTATCCTGATTCCCTTAGTCCTCTGTATTTAATCTGATGAGATTATCTTTATTTTAACATGATTGTGTTTTTGCATATACTCATTAAACTCTAAGATTCTTGAGGATAGATTATAATAAATATCTTAAAGATAGTAAATAGCATTCTCTGAACTCCTAAATTGTGTGCAATATTTAAGTCATCACTAGAAGTATTCCATTTAATCTTCATAACTTCCTCTCCCTTGAGAAGGTACTATTATTATCATCTCACTTTACTTAGGAAGAAAAACAGAGATAGCTTAAGTAACTCACCTGAGACCTGAACTCAAAAAACCCAGGCATCTCATATGACCATCACTCATTCTTTATAACTGGCATGATATAAGCTATAGATAGATATAGATATGCTAATGTAATGAAGATAAGAAAGCACAGGTGAAAAGTAAACAGCCCTAATGTGGCTAAACAAGGGGTATAATGTAAAATACATCCAGAAAGATAGGCTGGAAATAAGCCTATAATGTGACCTATTGATTCCCATAATTATCTGGTCCTCATTGAGGAAAAAAAAAGGAAAAGCTACCAAACACCTTTCTCTTACTATATCAGCATATTAGTCTTTTAGCAATTTTCTCACATTATGAGCAGAAAACTCTTAATTTCCTGAAACATTAAACGAAATACCCCCAAAGTGTCTTATGGTTAAATTACTTGAGGTAACGCTACATTAAGCAAAATAGGTTTCTTTAGTAGAGAATTTGGCAGAGTTCATAGATTGTGAATTAGAACCCCTCTCTTACACAGCATTTCTTACACAGGCCTAAGGTTTAGTAGAATAGTTTGAGACCCATGTGTTAGGCCTACAATGCCATTTGTGAACTGACCCCTACTTACTCATCTCAGAGTCAAATTAGGTCAATTAAAAGCAGAATACAGGAAGCATGTGCTAAGAGTACAAAGTGCAAGAAGCCTATCAGAAAGATGAATTGTTCTAGGGTAACTCAACCCAAAAAAGCTGTCCTCTTCTCTATACATACCCTCACAGTATATGTTTATATCTCTACAACAGCGTTTATCTAGCCTGTCTTTAACAAGTTGTATAAATATGCTCTTCTCCCTGTTACTCAGGAAAAGTTATTTAATTCATGTTTATACAGAGCCTCACAGTTAAAATATTAATTATTAATAAAGGGGACTCTCTGATTCAGAGAGAAAAATTTCTCAACAGTTATTATAAAAACCAAAAAAAAGTCACCACTGTTAAACAGTGTACACTATAGCATATTTTGATAGCAAATGATTACCAATACCTTATAAAACAATTTTCCACCTATACAGATAGCACAAGTAACTCGACAATGTAAGACATATGGGAATATACAAAATGGTTTAAGTAATTACACCAGGTCAGACTGCACTAACTTTTTATCATTATATATGTGACTAAATGCATTTCACAATTTCATAACTTCAATTTACATGGAAATAGCTTAATTTTGTAATTAAAAAATTCACATAGAACAGTTCATAAGACATTCTCAAATCTTCCTATTTTACTAGGAAATATTAGACATAAAACTTAGAGACCACATTTCCTACAATCTCTATTTTAACAGGAAAAATGTTGATTTATTAGTTACAACATCCAAAGAGTACCATGCACAAGGGGAAATAATATTAAGTCATCACATCAATATAATCTAATTGTCCTTGACTCAATGCCTCAAAAATAGCACTTTTCTCTGAAACTAAATGGCCATAAAAGTCTAAGCTCTAGTCTATATTATAATTATTGATACTCTAGAGTCTTTCATACCAAATATATCATCTAATGATCCACGTTTGGGATATGAAGGAGAGAAAAATAAAGGCCAATATACTTATTAATTTTTAAATCACAACACTTAAAATATGATAAATTATGTACTGAAAACCAAAGTATCCTCCCTATACACTCTTTTTAAAAGTTACTTTAAAAATTTACTTTTTAATTAACAACTTTAAAATAACCATGAAAAGTCATTAGAGACAGAAAATAAGCTTCTTTTCTTACCTATGCGGTCAAATGTTTTATCACATTTAGGACACTGCAATATTTTTTTGTTACTGTTCTGAATCACTACTGGAGTCAAACCCTCATGAATATTTCCTACAGAGTCACCAGCCTCAGGTTCTTCTTCTGCATCATTATGTTCTTTTTCACTTTGTTCTTCAATGTCAGAGTATTCATCTGACATTTCCTCCTCTAGCTCATCTTCTTCAGCGTTATATTCACTTCCAGGATCCTCAGAATCATTTCTATCTGACTTTTCCTTATCAAAATGTTCTTGATTTAAATTGTCTGACCCATCACCACTTTCCTGTTCATCATCGCTAGTGTCATCAAACTTAACAGAGCACTTCCGATTCCTTTTTGATCTTCTTGCAGAAAAACTTCTCTCCAGCATTTTTAACCCATGTTTTTTCCCTAACAAAAGGGACCTATGAGTTTTAGCCAAATGATTCTCTAAAGACTTTTTATAACAAAAATGTCTACTACAGAATTTGCACTGATGATTATTTGATAGTCTTCCAGTTAATTCATTTAGTGTTTCTTCTGGTGATGACTTCTCAGTTAGCTCTGACTGAAAAGAGGCAACATTTTCATTATTTAGCAGCTTCACTGCATCTATAATGTCCAAAAATTTGGCAGCCTCCAAAACAAGAGGTATTTCATATTTATACACAAAAAATTCTGATGTGTAAAGAAATTCAAGCAAATGCTGAAAAACTGAATGTGTTACATGATCCAGGGTAACAACATCAGTACTTGGATTTTTGCTCAAACACGCATGAAAATAACTACTGCCAACAGCAACGACTACCTTATGTGCACTAAATTCTTTTCCTTCTACTATGATAAGTAAATCACAGAAAGATGGTTGCTTCTGCCTATCGTCATTTAAATATTTCAGCAAATTCTTATTGTACTGCAAAGAACTCAAAAGCTTTCTCTGATCTGGAGAGGGTGGAAGTTCCTGGTAACAGCTAAGAGCCTCAGGAGTTGGTCTTTCTGTAGAATGAGGATAGGTCACTTGGTCACACTCCACTGCAGCAACATTTCCTTCTGAAGAATCTTTATGATAGCCTAGATGGATCTTCTCATCAAGATTTGTAGTAACCTTTCTCCTTTTCTTCATTGCAGTACAGCAATTTCAGAACAAGAAACTTCATAAGTGTCTAAAGAGATTTATGAAGGAAAACTAGATTGTCTTGAATAACAGCTTCTAGAGGGGCGTGCCCCAGGGTTTCGTGGTCTGCAAAAAGAGTAAGAAGCATGTAAAATAACTCCAAGGCACAGCAATCCTTAATCAGGTAACGGCATTCGTCAACTGATTCTTTCTAAATGATAACTAAATTATGATATAAAGTCATAGTTTACACTCATGGCTAAGATTTTAGGGTGGAGAACAAGGAGGGCCGGGTTAGAAAAGACAGCCAACAAAAGAATAATTTTAAAGGAAGCCAGAGCGCACCTTCCAGGCCTGATTTACAAACAGGATAGAAATACTAAGGCAGAAAAGGGAGTGATTGTTCCAAGATCATTGATAGTGCGGGCTGAGGGGGCTGGAGTCGTGGTTCAGGGGCGCTGGGATCGTGACAATAAGGCCGTCGCGGCCGCGAAATCCAAGTCTCCCCAGTAACATGCTTTCGCAGGGCGGGCAAGGAACAGCTCTTCAGGGATAGAAAGCCTTCCTCGCTCCACACCACTCCATGACAGACGGCCCCCGGAGGGGCGCATAGTAAGACGAGTGGGGCCAACCAGAGGTTCGACTAAAGGAAGCAGAAGGGCTTTCCCAGGCCCTGGCGAAGCGGATAATACGCTTGCCAGCGGCGAACCCGCTACCCTTCCCACCCAGTTTCCCTGGGCAAACGCCCCACAGAACCATTACCGGGAACCCAGGGCTCCCCCGCTGGCTCCCAGACGCTGAGCTCCACTCCCGGCGCGCTCGCTTCAGCGCCTACCCACTTCCGGGTTCAGCCCCCCACCTCACCCCCCTCCCCTCCTCTCCTTCCCCTCCCGGAGCTCCGCCGCCTTGGCCGCCGCGGAACACGTCAACCGCGCGCGCAGCCTCCAAGCTACCCACAGAGGCCGTCCCGCGGCCCTGCGCGAACCAATGCGCATGTGCGCGCACCCTTCTTTACGCATGCTCCGTAAGTTCTCCGGGCTCCCTTGGAGACCTCAGCTGCGCCTGAAGTCCGTTACTCCGGGTTTTCGCTGTAGCTCTGTGGCGGATTGCGGCTGAAACCGTGAAGGTTTGCCCGGGGAGGGGAATGAAGGAGGGAAGGACAAATGGGAAGTTTGGAAGTATTTGGCAGAGGCGCAGTGGCACAAACGGATTTCAACCTCTCTGGTGTGTTTAATAGTTTGTAATCAACCATACAACTGCCGGAAGCCAGCAGACACCTTGGCATGCACCTAAAGCACTTACTACGGGCTCACGAGCGCAAAACTCAGTGGGATTCAAGTGGGAGAGAGAGGGAAGAGGGGTTCGGTGGGCTCCCACCCAGTGGGCGCAGTGCACGGGGATGTGGCACACTTCCTGGGTGAAAGACACTGCTTCAGCTCGGACTTTAACTTGACAAATGCCAACTACGGAACCTAATCGTATGTATCTCCTATTAATCCGAAATTTAAAAAAAAAAAAACCTCAGGCAGTTTTTATAGTGTTTTTTTCATAGCTAGGGAAACGGATAAGAAAATTGAAATTTTAATGTTGAAGTGTTGGATCCTTTCTTAAAAAGAAAGCTTTTAAGTCTGAGATTTTTTTTTCCAGAAATCTATGCTTTTTGTAGAGGTACAGATTCTTAAACTTTTATTGAATATTGCAAAATGAGAAAAATATGCATTCGGTGTTTTTAAAAAATTTATGAAATTAATTTGGTCTTTTTTTTTAAGTTGTATCACTATTTGGATTTTGCCTAGTTTGAGCGGGTGGAATGCCTGAGAAAGTACTGAAGGAGGTTTTACAACCTTAGTAGCATAAACGTTTTGTTCAGTTGATGTGATCACTTTCCTCATTGGAATGGAAGTTAGCGAATTTGGGTTTGCTGGCAGTTTTTGTGTGTTCTAGCTGTATAATTATCATGGGCACATTTTGTGCCCATTTAGAGCCTCAAGCTTCTTATTTGTAAAGTTGGATAAGGAACTTTGCTTGTCTCAAGAGCGCTGTTGTGAGCATCTTAAGGGTCAATTATGTGAAAGCATTTAGGAAACTATAAAACAATTCAGTACTATATTTCTAAAAGGGAGTTTTAAATTATATTTACCTGTTGATTGCTAATGATCCATTACAAGTAAATCTGTATTTTAAACTTCTTTTTATTAATTTCCTAATTTGATTTGACGATAATTCTAGAATCACATTGGAGATATGAATCCTTCTGATTTAATAACATGATTGATTTTTCCCTTAAATCTGTACTAGTCGTATATTTTTTTCTAATAAAAATTGTAATTGCTTACCTTTCAAAAAAAACCCAATGTTCAAGTTGTTTGGTTATTTTTCTGATTTAAATGGCTATGACTAGACTACTACAAAATTTTTATCTTTTTGTTGTACACAGAAAGAAAAAAAAAGAAGAATGCTGATACAAGTGTACAGCAGGTAGGAAAGGAAGGGAGGCCAAAACGAAAAAAGAAAAATTCACAAGGACAATTTTTGGAGCCAGTGCCTGAGATACTGCATTTCTAACAGAGTTCCAGGGGATGCTGATATCGCTGTTTTGAGGACCACACTATGGAAGGCAGCTTAGATCATGTGATTGTGATTTTATGGACAGAAAGGAAATAAGATGAAGGCTGAGACAAAATAGGATGGGTGGCCAAATTGGAGACCCCGCTCCTTCCCTCACTCACACATTACTGCCACACACATAGCTGGATATCTAGGAGGGCAGCACTCTCAGGATTGAAAGGAAAATGAAAGAAACAAATTATCAAAAATAACCATGCAGATTAAAAGAATAATCTGGAAATGAAAGTTATCATTATATTATTACTTAGTAATAAGAATATGAATGGAAATGTATAAGTTCGTATTTAAATAGAAGAAAGGTGAATGAATACAAGATAGAAAATAAATAAATCCAAAGAAACAAAAAAATTTCACGAGCATAAACTGTGAAATAGTGAAACATACAATAACAATACAATAGACCAAAACTCTGGGTATTTGAATATATAAAAAACTTGAGAAATTTTTTAGTAAGACTTGTTATTGCCAATTTTATACAACTCTTCAAAAATTATTTTAAAAGGGGGGAGGGTCACATTTTATTTATGAGACAAGCATAATCATAATACCAAAACTTAACAAATACATTTCAGGAAATGAAAATTATAGGTCAAACTCACTCATAAACAAGGTGCAAAAATCTTAAACAAAATCAAATACAAATGATGTGTTGTCTATGTGTGTGAGAGGTAGAGAAAAAAAGAAAACTGAATTAAATTGGCTTTAACACAGGAACAAAAAATTTTAATATTTGAAGATAAGTGTATAATTCTTTGTATTAACAAAATGAAAGATGGAAACCATTATCTTACTACATACAGAAAAATATTTGATAAATTTAACACTTTACTTTTTAAAAATTTTAAACTGGGGCTAAAACATGTCTTAACATAAATGGACTCTGACTAAAAAAATAGAGCAAATGTCATACTTAATGAAATGTGGAAAATTTCCATGGAATTTGAAAATGAACCAAGCATGCCTTCTATTACCACTTGACATTTTAATAAAAGTCCTACTCAGGAAAAATAAATATGAATAAGAAAGAGGAATAATGTAAGTTTGGGGAAGGGAGAATAAAATTGTCATTATTTATTGAAGACATGTTTGGATATTTAGTAAAATTTTTAAAAACCTTATGTATAAATTATTTTCTAATAAAGTTAACAGGATACAATGTTCAAGTACAAAATAAAATATTTCCTGTATAAGCTGTGGTAGTTAATTTTATTTGTCAACTTGGCTACTCTATGGTGCTCAATTTATAAACACCCATCTAGATGTTGTTGTGAAGGTGATGTTTCATAAGTCATAGACTTTGAGTAAAGTTGATTACCGTCCTTAATGTGAAGACTACATGCAATTAGTTGGATGCATTCAGAGCAAAGAATGAGGTTTCCCAAAGAAGAAGCAATTCTCCCTGAGATTTCAACTCAGAAACTGTGGGAGTTTTCAGCCTGCAGCACTGCAGAATTTGGATATAAGGCTAGGACCTCAGCCTTTACCAGAATTTCCAGCCTATGGATCTGCCCTCTAGATTTTGGACTTGCCAACTCCCACATTTGTATGATATGGGATATTTATTTTCAAATAAATCTCTGTCTCTGTCTAATTCTGTTTCTTTGGAACACACTCATACATGAGCAATGAAAAGTAAGAAAATGTAAAAACAATACCTTAGAATTTCTTCAATCATGTAGCACCAACATCCATGTCCCTAAGGTGCCAGAAGTTTTTGTGAGAGACAGTAGCCAGTGGGATAAGGGCCCATGAGGAAAGAACAGAGGCAGAACGTCAAGAAAGAAAGGTGAATTTACACACTGCAGGGTCCCTTCCCAGTGTCTTCCTTTTGCTGATCTGTTATGGTCATAACATCCTTCAATAGGCTGTTTCGCAAATTTATTTCTAAAGATGAAAATGTTTTTCTTCATTTATTCAATAGGATATCCTTTGAGCAACTACATTGTACCAAGAATATAACATTTTAAATAAAAATTATTAACAGATGTTTTCAGTAGCATCTGGAAATGAAACTAATAACCCCTGTTCAAACTTTATACAAAACTATAACAGGGGCAGGAATGTTTATGTTTATATAAAATATGAGATATGTAAATATTTTCATGTTTTCTTCATCCTACTACCTTCTACATTTTTTACAACCCTATAATAATGTAAAAATAATTATCTCATGAACTCTACAAAAATAACCCATGGCATGAATATGGGACATTGATAGCCATTATCTTCTGACCCTTCCCTGTAATAAGCACCTCAGCTAAATTAAAGAAGAACTAAATAAGTAAGTATGCTGTCTGTGGGTGCTATTAGCACAAAATGCTGCAGGTTAATTTATTAATATTGGAAATTTATTTCTCCCAGTTCTGAAGTCTGGGAAGTCTGGAAGTCAGAGTGCTGGCATTCCATGTGTGATGAGGGTTTTCTTGCTATCTTCTCACGTGGCAGAAGGTGTAAATGCTACGTCCTCATGTGGCACAAGGTAGAAGGGCAAAAAAGGGCTTCAGCAAGTTTCCTTGAGCCATCTTAGAATGAGATACTCTAGTAACAATTACTTTCACAGCGGC